TTATATATGGTTCTGTACCTTGTGTATATTTCATTTTATAATAGGTCTTAGACACTATATGTACTGGCATGAAAAATACCTCCCAGTACCTTGGTATTCCACTGGCATAGCCATTCCTCTATTAAGGGACTCTTGGATTGTGTCCAGTCTTTTCCCATTATAAGCTGCAATAAATAATCTTGTATATGTGTACTTTCATACACAGAGAATTTAAACTTTCTTTAGGATCATATATGTCTAGTTCTTTATTGTCTTCTTTGTTACGGAGCACTTATAATCTGATTAGTAACCTTATTTTACAAACAAATGGAATAAAAATTTGAAACCAATGCAAATAATTTTCTAAAGATTAGCGTGAGTCAGTCTTACATTGACATACTTTGGGTAGCCCTTTTTTTTTTTTTTAAGATTTTATTTATTTATTTGACAGAGAGAGAGAGATCACAAGTAGGCAGAGAGGCAGGCAGAGAGAGAGAGGAGGAAGCAGGATCCACGCTGAGCAGAGAGCCCAATGCGGGGCTCGATCCCAGGACCCTGGGATCAGGACCCGAGCTGAAGGCAGAGGCTTTAACCCACTGAGCCACCCAGGTGCCCCTTGAGTAGCTTTTTTATTCTTCCATGTATTTCAGTTTTCTCAGTGCCTTAGGATTATTTCATTTTAGGAAGGCTTTATAGGCATTGGCTTACATCGTTCACTTATCTGATGTTAAGAATGAGAACATTTTGATGTCGGGGGTTGCTCTTTGCTGTTACTATATTTAGTTTTCCATTATATTCTTGGAGTTAAAAAATGAAGTTTTGGGGCGCCTGGGTGGCTCAGTGGGTTAAAGCCTCTGCCTTCAGCTCAGGTCATGATCTCAGGGTCCTGGGATCAAGCCCTGCATCGGGCTCTCTGCTCGGCAGGGAGCCTGCTTCCTCCTCTCTCTCTCTCTCTCTGCCTGCTTGTGATTTCTCTGTGTGTCAAATAAATAAAATCTTTAAAAAAAAAAAAAAAGGAGTTTTTTCCTAGATGCAAATATAAAAATAACTGACATATTAACAGATTGAAATTTGAACTTATTCTCTTTTTAAATTACTAAAATTAAATGTTTGTTGTAACAAAAAAATTAAACAGTATATGATTGTCTCTGTGTTATTGCTTTCCTAATCATCAATATGAGATAGTTTGAAGGTTAGCCTTCCAAATATTTATTACTGTGTAATACATTTTTGTATATACTTTAAAGAATACAAGTGTACTTTATGTAGTATATAAACATACTCTTTATTTAGAAATACGGCTTGAGGCATTATCCTAAAATGATAGGATTTAAAATGCAGTATATTTATTTCAGAAATGACTTGTCCCCTTGAAACATCAATGGCTTTGTTCTAAGGGATTTCCAGTATATAAAGTCATATGCATCCTGCAGACTTTGTTGAATTACTTGTAATATGTCAAGATGACTATTTGTGTGGCCTACTTAATTTAATGTTTGCATTTATAGCAGATTGCCTTTTTGATTCGTGTTTCACAGTTGTTGAAAAGCTATGAAAAGTTTTTAATAGAAAGGGGAATGTAGAGCTCCTCCCCTTGTTTATAGTGCTAGTATTATAAATTTCTTATACTCTTAAAATTTGAACTTTAGTTTGTTCTACCAGTGACACATGAGAACATTCTTCTTGAAGACCCAGTCAGTCACAATAAAATAATATTCTTACTTGGCTTTAAGTTAAGTGACTTACTTAAAGGCTCACAGGCATGATTAAATGGGAGGCAGCTGGGTGGGCCATGAGAGGAGGTGCTGGTAGATGGTTTTTTTTCAGCATGCCACTTTTTGCACATATTGGGGGTGTTTTTTGGTATGGTAGATGTTTAGATGTTCAGCTTAAGTTGATTTTGAGTGTTAGCTAATAGTGTTGTTAGTACATCTAAACATGTAAGTATATCTGTAGAAATAAAAGTTTTTTTTTGGTTAGGGGTAAGAGAAAAATCTGTTGTTTTCCTTCCTATTTAGCCAGCGATCCTGATAATGAAATTTAGAATGGGAGCACTTAATCCCTTTTAGAGTACACAGTATGCTACCTCTTGGGATAATCATCTTTTAGGAGACTGCTTATATTCAACCTATACATGAAATCACTGGAGGAGAGCTAAAGGTTTTAGAGTATGAAATGCTTACTAATTATACTTTGGTTTTTTGTGTGTTTCTATGTGTGTATTTTTGTGTTTCCTATTTTAGCCTTTCCTCATTACTTATTGGTGTTTGATTGTTGTGAGGCAGTTTGATGAACCATACATACTGTTGTCACTTGTCTTTCTCAGTCCATTATGTGAAAATACACAGTCTGTTACCTGCTCCTGTAGATATGGAACCTTAGCAAGTCATTTGACTTCTGCTTTTTCTGTATTAAATTGGACAGCAATCCTTCAAAGTTTTGTACAATAACCTCTTGATACTCAATTCTAAAATTATTTGATTATATATTTGAATGTCTAATCAGAAAGTGGATTTGGATATCAAGAGATCTGCATTGCCTTAATGTATTGTTTCTGGTTCTGAATTTTGGGACGCAAATAGAGTTTGGATAGCAGGGTATTTGTATAAAAAGTTAATCAAATTGATTCAGCTCCTGATTTAAAGATTGGAGAATTTAGACACAGAATCTGGGTAGGAAGGCACAATTGTGTACGAATTCTATGCATTGAAAAAAGCTGTACACAAACATATGCTAGTATAGATCAAAATTGGAGGAGACGTTAATCGATCATTTTAACCAACCTCCTGTTTGATCCTTTCTTAAATGGTCTTCCAGTTTATGCTTGGCCCTTGAAATTTGTTAGAAGCTAACTGTGTTCTTTCTGGTTTATTGTTCTAAGTGTTAGAGGAGATCCTGGACAATGAGATCAGCCATAAAATGGGAATGGCTGAAAATATGTCTTGAAAAATTTGAAAAGTGCTATAATTTGATCGATAAAAAAGTACCTGTATTCTAGAAAAATAATATTCAGTGGGATATTAATGTTGTAATTAATGTTACTACTATAATTATATTTATATGTATTTATATATTATATATAAATGTTTATTTATATAAACATTTATGTATAATAATTAAAATTATAATTTTATTATTTGATTCTCTTATCTCCAGTTGTCTCTGTTGCCTGCAAAATTTCCGGTTATAGCATAAGGACCTTCAAAGAGAATGAATTAGATTATTTATTTTCTTTTTTGAAAGCTCTTTCCTCTCCTCCTTTGGAAGGTTTGTAGTACTTTGATTTCATCTGAGCCAGAACATTGTCCATTTCCTGTTGCCCATCATTTTGCCTGCTTTGAACAGTGGTTTCAGCTTATCCACCTCTTTCTTCATCATGCCCCCCAGTGCCTTCCAGGTTATTTCTGGATCTTTAGCCTCTTCCTGGGCCATCCTTTTCCTTGCATTCATCTTTCAGTTTGATTTTTTGACAAAAGCATTATAGGATAGGACCTCCCTGATGTGATTGGTTTGCTGAAGGAGGTTTCATATCCTGGGTTCTTCAGCATACTCCACATATAGCATAGACTGTGTGAGCTGATCTAGGTCACTCTTAAAGTTTTAGGTAGTTTTGTTTAATATTGCCAGCTCTTCCTCAGAACCTTTGTATATATTTCCAAATTCTTGAATGTCTTCTCCAATATGTCTCCCCAGTCTCTGGCTTTGTTGAACATAGCCAAGTCCTGTTCACTGTTGACTGAGTATTGTACACTGTTCTCTAGTCTTAAAATGGAATAGACTTTCCTGAGGAACTAGAAGTGGTGATGTCTTCTTTGCTTACCCAGTCAGGGTGCACCTGTTGAGATGTGTTGCGGTAGTCATATTAGACAAAGTGCAAGGCCTCCTAACAATGGTAAAGGTTGGCGAGGTTTCCTTGGACAGCTACAGCTGACCCATGCTGGTCAAGGTTTCGTATGGGCCACAGTTCAAAATGAAGACTTTTTGAGGGAAGGGAATTTCCTCATCTGTTCATATCTGTGCTGCAGAATCTTGAGCATACTAATGTTCCTTTCAAAGTTAAGTTTGAAGTTGGGAAAGGAAGGTAAAATTAAAATGTTATTCATTTAAAAAATAGTCTGCAGTATTTTATAAAAATATGTTTCTTTTTGTTGAGCTGGAGAAGGGAACAAAATTATGAAGGTAGACTTGGACAACTTGAAGTTAGAACCTCCTTAAAGGTTAAATTCTGCTGTGGCTTTTCCTTTGTAGAGAAATAAGTTCTTGTAACTTTGATTGGCTCTTGGTTAATTTATGAGTGGAAGTGTACTACATGTTTAGTCTATAGATGCATTTCTTTTTTAAGATTTTATTTATTTGTTTGATGGAGAGATCACAAGTAAGCAGAGTCAGGCAGAGGGGGAGGGGTAACCAGGCTTCTGGCTGAGCAGAGAGCCTGATATGGGGCTCAGTCCCTGGACCCTGGGATCATGACCTGAGCCGAAGGCAGAGGCTTAACCCACTGAGCCACCCAGGTGCTCCTATAGATGTTTTTTTTTTTTTTTTTTTTTAATGTGGAACCATAATACAATCTGGTATAGCTGAGTTAAGTGTTTCCTTTTTAATTAGGGGACCTAAGAGCAAAGAACAACCAAAAAAGCATTCCATATTGATATCCAAGGGTTTTCCTCAACCCCCTCCCCCCCCATTTTTCTCTAATTGTTGATCTGGATTGTCTTTCTGTTGTAGTGAATATATGTACCAGTTACTTAGTAACGTCCATAGAAGACCAACAAAAAATTGTCACCTCAGTTCTTACCATGAAATTTCGAATAGTCTTTTGTGAATTAAAAAAAAAAAAACAAACCCTATAAGCTTATGTTGAAAAAGAATGTGGTTAGCTATAATTAGTTAGCTTATAGTTACCTTCTTTGAGGGGAAGGCAATCTGTTACTTATTTTTTTGATTTTTCAAATAATGCCCCTATTAGTAGGTATATAGTATATATTTGACGTCATGAGTAAATGAGAATAATTTCTTTTTAGGGTCCTGATGAAGAAGCTGTTGTGGATCTTGGCAAAACCAGTTCAACTGTGAACACAAAGTTTGAAAAAGAAGAACTAGAAAGTAAGTTCGTTTAACTTATGCTTAGCAGGATAAATTACTAATGAAAGTTTGTGTGCTTTAAATTTTACCTATTTGTGGAAACATTTTGTTGTTACGAGGTAGAGCATACATTTAAAAGAACGTTTAATATAACGTTTTAATTAACGTTTTCTAAATACAATTCAAGGTATAATACAACAGACACCCATATAACCATACTCATAGCTGCAGTTAGAATATTCCTTGATTTTTCTTTGTTGGAAGTATTGATATAACAAAGATTTCAGAATCTCTGTGCTTTTTTTTTTTCTTTTGAGAGAGAGAGAGAGCATGAGCAGGGAGGGGGGTATGGGTTAGAGGGAGAGGGAGAATCTCAAGCAGGCTACACGCTTAGTGTGGAGCCTAATGTAGGGCTCAATCTCATGACACCGAGATCATGACCTGAGCCGAAACCAAGAGTTGGATGCTTAACTGACTGAGCCACCTAGGTACCCTTAGAATCGATGCTTTTCAATTTTCCCTGCTGGTTGCCATTATTTACCTTGGAAATTAAAATACCAAAGTTAAAAAGTCAGTTGATGCTTTTATTTTTTTTTCATTTCTAGAGGCTAGGTAATTTTAGCAATCCAGAATGCCATAGCCACAGTTATTACTAGTCATCTAAATGTTCATTTTATAGGTCAGTTGCACCAGCCTTTTCAAGTGCTATGATACCTCAGCATAGAATTGTGGAACAAATGAATTATATGTCATTCTGTCTTCCAGGAAGAAGTCCTGGCAAATGGTTTCTTCTCTCTTTTTTTTTCCCTTCTGACTGAAATAATTTTGATTTACAGAAGAGTTGCAAAGATAGTACAGTGTTCTGTTACCCTTTACGCAGCTTTTTAAAATTTTAACATTTTACGTAACCATCATTGTTAATGAAAATGAAGAAATTAACATTGGTACAGTTTTATTAACTAGACTAAATTTAATTCAGATTTCACCAGTTTTCAACTGATGTTGGTGTCTTGTTCCAGGATCATGTCAAACAGTTCAGGATCCAATAGTACATTTAGTTGTCTCATCTCCTTAGTCTCCTCTATGACAGTGTCTTAATCTTTCCTTGTTTTTCATGACCTTGACGTGTTTGAAGGGTAGTGGTTAGATGCTTTGTAGAATGTCTCTAAGTTTGGGTTTGTTTATGTTATCATATGAACAGACCGAGATTATGGATATTTGGGAAGCTTACCACAGAAGTGAGCATATCATATCTGGGGACATGTGATGTCAATGTGACTTATTAGTATTGTTAACTTTGAACCCTTGGTTAGGGTGGTGTTCCTGGCAAATGTTCGGATAGACTTTTGAGGTCTTTTTGGGAACTGTGTTTTTAAGTTAAAGCCTTCTGTGAAAGCTGGTACCATATAAGGACATTAATTTGTTGCTTTTAAAAAAGAGATGGAAAGAGGCAAAAAAGTGTTCTCCATATTTACTTTGTGAGATGGAAGAAAGCCCTGTCTTTTAAAATTATCTTTAGAAATCTAGGCTTCCTAGGGCTTCTGAAAGGAATCTCAGTTATCTGGAAGGTTATTACCATATAATGTTACCTTTCAAATGTGTGCAATCTAGAACATGAAGACTAGCATTTGGATGTGGTTTTTTTTGCTTCCCTTTGTTACCCCAGAGCCTTTAGCTTTGCGTACTTGATACATATCTAAATTTCAGTATGGGGTTTGAGGGAGAGATTAGGTTTATCTGCATTTGACTGAATAGCCCTTTGACAGAGTAAAGGTTAAAGAAAAAGGAAAGAAAGGAAAGAAAAGAAAGAATCATAACAAGAACACTAAGGTTGATAATAAAAGCTAAATAAACAAGGCTTAGATTTTCATATTCCTGTTTATTCTTTCTAAATTGGAAACTCCTATAATTTATTTTTATTTTGGTGCATTAGGGCTGTGTGCCAGCGCCATTAGTACTAATTGGAGTACAACCTTGTAATTCCCAGTGCTCAGTGATGAGAATCTGACTCTTTAATTTCCACTTTTCTGTAGTATTCAGAAGAAAATAGTCTCACTAAAATTAAATAGTAATATCATTGAGTTTTGTTAAAATTTTTTTTAGTTTTCTTATTGAGATATAATTTATTTAACATAAATTTCACCATTTTAAAGTGCATAGTTAATTTTTTTAAGGTATATTCACTATGTTGTGCAACCATGACCAGTCTAATTCTAGAACATTTCTATCATCTCCCCTCCCCCCATGCTATAAAATTGATTTTTAATTTTGGGTTTAAAAAATAATTGGTATTTAATTTCTATAATTTTTTTTTATCTAGTGCGTACTGTGTACTAGGCAATGTACTAGGCATTGGAAGATGGTAAAGCAAATAATTTTAGTTGTTGTATATCTATAGTCCATTGTATATCTAGTTCTGTTTTAGTTTAAATGTAATGACTTAGTTTATTGATATTACTGTGTTGGCATCTGAAGCAAGAGATCAAGAGTCACCCTTTTAAACTTAGCTGGGTATGTGTGTTTCAGAAAACTCAATTTTTTTTGTAAATGGATATTGGTAAATGAATGCAGAATTGCCATGGGTATTGATTTTAGGTTTATAAATGAATTTTAGGAAGTTGGCAAATTTGAAAATAAGAATTCAAAAATAATGAGGATTGACTATACTTTCAAATCTCACCTAAAGTTGAGGATCTTGAATTTCTTGAAGTATTTATTTTCTGACCATCTTGTGGAACTTGTTAGGAAAAGAATGTCATTAACTATGTGTATTTCAGCATGTTACTTTTTAAAGTACTTAAGGTCAAAAAGCAGCACCGTGTCAGAAGGCATTTGTAGAGTTGCAAATTAGTTAAACTTGTACCCACCACTACTTTTACTCCATGTAACTTAGAAAGGAATGTTACTTAAACTATTTAAGAAATCAAGTTCATGCCTCAGTATTTGACATAGTGCTGCTAGCTTTCTAGTTCCTTAAGTTTTATTTAGTGGACAAAAGCAGAGACTACCTTTCATAACCATTTTGTTGGTCACAATACAGATTGGGAATTGTGCAAATTCAGCAGTAGCTTTTTCATATTCCAGAAGCATGTGATAACCTTATTGTATTGTTTCCCCCCACCGATCTGATAATTTATGCCCTTTAGTTGGAATATTTGGATCATTTACATTTAATGTAGCTTTCAGTAATTTGGACCTTGCTGATTTGAGATTTTCAAAACTGTAATTAATAAATATTTATAAATATCTGCCTATGAATATTGATTATAAGGTATTTTATTATCATTAAAACATACCTCTTAAGGATGTCTGTTAACTAGGTTTGATATCAAAATGTTGGTGGAATAAATTTATGTCTACATGGTATGATTTCAGATAGGCCAACCTCTTCTTTCCCAAAATGCCTTTTTAACCTTGCCAAAATAATGCTTACACAAGTAACTGTTTTATCAGTCAGTAGTATTAACCCGTGACATAGCATTCTTTTAGTGTTCTATAAAGGAAAAGAACAGGAAATAGCATTGTTAATTACATGAGCTTAAATATAATTCTTTTTTATCAAAGTAAAATTTGGTATACTTTTGTGTATATTCTTTCCTTTTTGGAAAATTAGTAATGTTTCTGAACCTTTGGCTAGGTCATCGAGCTGTCTATATTGGTGTTCACGTCCCATTTAGTAAAGAGAGTCGTCGGCGTCATAGGCATCGTGGACACAAACATCACCACCGAAGAAGAAAAGATAAAGAATCAGATAAAGAAGATGGACGGGAGTCTCCTTCTTATGGTAAGAGAAAACAGTAGTTCCTTGTTAACACCTTAAAATTCTTTCCTGACAAATTTTGTTTAAAAAGTAGAATATTTTCTTTCTTAAATTTTATGTCTGCTGTAATTTAGACACATTATAAACCTTGAAGAGTATACTAATTGAAGTAATATTTTTTCTCCAAGGAATATACTCATTGAAGAAATAATATTTTTCTCTATGACATATTTCATTATTTATATGTGCAATGAACAAATATCTGGAATCTTCAGGCTCCTGGATAAGATTAATTTTTCTTCCATTTTTTGGCTAGAAAAATTTATCCACTAAATTGAACTATTTGGTTATCTGTGCAGAAAAATAGTGCTCTCATTTGATAGTACTGCCTGCCTGTGAAAGGACAGAGGTTTGTTTGAAAGAAGAGAAATACAGAAGGGCCAATAGACAGAGGAAATCAGAAAGAAAAAAGGCATATGGTAGAGGAAAGAGAATGTTACCTGAAAAAAATTTTGGTAAGTACTGATTTAAGTGGCCCTGAAATGTGCAAATGGTGAGAGCCCCCCAAAAATGCTGTACAGCTTGAGGAGGACTTCTAGGATATTGTAGCTAGTGGACATATAAAGCATCATTATTTTTTTAGGACATAATGGGCCTGCATGGCCATCTTTACACCGTGGGTTCTAGTGTGTGCATTCTAGCAAAGTTACATGAGCTGTCCTTGTAGGCATTTGTGTGCTTGCATGTTTTTGTAACGAAGAGGGAAAGAATCTTATGGGTCATATAGCTACAACGTGAACATAAGAAAATAGTGATATATGAAGTGCCAATTCTGTGCTAAGCATTCCACCAAGCCCTTGACATATGCTCTTTGATTTAATTCTCTCTGTGCTTTTAATTTTATTTTTTTAATTCTAATTTTAATTCCAGTTACTTAACATACAGTGTTATATTCATTTTAGGTGTATGATATAGTGATTCAGCAATTCCATACAACACCTGGTGCTCATCATACCAAATACATTCCTTAATCCCCATCACCTACATCCCATCACCTACCCTCCTCCCTTTTGGTAACTAACAGTTTGTTCTCTGTAGTTAAAAGTTTGTTTCTTGGTTTGTCTTTCTCTCTTTTTTTTCTCTTTCCTTATTTGTTTTGTTTATTAAATTCCACATATGAATTTTCATTCATATGGTATTCATTTCATATGGTATTTATTTTTCTCTGACTGACTTAACTTTGCTTAACATTACACTGTAGCTCCATCCATGTCATTGCCAATGGCAAGATTTCATTCTTTTTTATGGCTGAACAATATTCCATTGTCTATATACCACATGCATTTTCTCTGCATTTTTAAAAGATGGGTGTTGTTTTCATTTTGTAGATGGAGATACTTCAGCTTAGAGAGACTAAATGTAATGGGAATCTCTTAAAAGCCTCTACTAAGAGGTAGTACATGGCCTAGTATATGATGGATTATATTCCGGTCAATAAACAAGTCTTAATACACTGAAAAGATTGAAAGTATATTCTGTGACCACAATGGAATTAAATTACAAAGATACCAAGAAAGGTCCCCAGATAGTTGGAAATTAAACAGATGCTTCTCAGTAATCTCTAGGTTAAAGAAGCAATCAGAAAAGAAATTAGGAAATATTTTGAACTCATAAAAATAAAAACACAGTACTGGCAATGATTGAGATAAAATCTTGGAAAGTGAGGACATGCTTCTGGTGTACAGGTTCTGTTAGCATGGTACTGTGCAAAGTTAGGACTGTGTATAAATTGAAATTCGTTAGATGCAGTTAAAGCAATGCATAGAGGAATATTTGAAGCATTTAATCCTTATATCAGAAAAGAAGGAAGATCTGATCTTCAGTGACCTAAATTTCTAACTTAGGAAACTAGGAGAAAACCTAGAACAAATTAAACCAAAGTAAGGAAACGAAAAGAAAAATAAAAACTGTTGCAGAAAATGAATAAAGTAAAGACCAGAAAAACAAGAGTAAAAATCAGTTAGACTGAAATCTGATTCTTTGAAAAGATAAGTAAAATTGATAAACTTATATAGCCAGAGTGATGAGGGAGAAAAAAAAGATATGAATTACCAGTATCAGAAAATTTCAGTGCAGATTGTACAGGTACTAAAAGACTGATGAGGGAATATTATGAATGGTTTTATGCCAACAAAATTGGTAATTTAAGATGAAATGGGGAAATTCCTTAAGAATACAAGCTAACAAAGAAAAATGGATAATCTTACTTACCCCGTGTGTATAAAGAAATTAAATTTGTAGTCTAAAACATTCCCACAATGCCATTTTACTCCCAGATGGCATCATGGATGAATCTGATCAAACATATAAGGAAGAAATTAGAGAGACTGCCAGAAAACTGAAGATGAAGGGACACTTCCCATTTCATTGTTATTAAATCCAACATTACCTCGATACCAAAACTGAATAACAGTTGTTACAAAAAAATAAAACTATAAATATCTCTCATGAATGTAGATTCACAAAGCATTAACAAACTAAAAACATATTTTACCCCGTAATATCCAAAAAGGATACTGTATCATTACTGTGGTAGGCAGAATAATGGTTCCCAAGATATCTCTCTTCCCAATGCCCAGAAACTGTGAATGTTAACTTTATAGCAAACTTGAATTTATAAATGTGATTAGATTAAGGATTTTGAGATGGAGAAGTTGAGTGAAGTATGCCAGTGGGCCAGTTGTAATTACAAGGATCCTTTAGTAAGAGGGAGTCAGAAGATCAGAGAGGAAGTAGTTGTGACCATGCAAGCAAATAGTTGTAGTAAGTGGTTCAGACCCAAATAACATAGGCAGCTTCCAGAAGCTAGAAAAGGTAAGGAAATGGATTTTTCCCCTAGAGCTTGCAGAAGGAACCAGCCAACGATTTTAGCATTGTAAGACTCATTTTGGACTTCTAGTCTCCAGAACTATATAAGAAATAAATTTGTGTTTAGGCCACCAAGTTTGTGGTAATTTGTTACAGCAGCAGTAGGATATTAGTATAATAACCATGTGGGAAAACAGGGTTGGTATAAAATTTAACTATCAATATAAATAACCACATTAACACTATAAAGGAGGAAACCCCTGTAATTGTCTCAGTAGGTGCAGAAAAAGCCTTTGACAAAATTCCACGGCCATTCATGATAAAATTCTCAGCAAAGAAGGAATAAAAGAAAACTTCTTCTACCAGATACACAGCATCTACAAAAACACTTTGTCAACCTCACACTTAGTGCTGAGAGATGGAATGCTTTCCCCTTATCATTTGGAGAAAGGCAGGGTTGTCCTCTGCCACTTCTGTTGAGCATGGTATTGTAGCACCTAGCTTGTGTGATAAGGCAAGAAAAATTAAAGGCATACAGATTGCAAAGGAAGAAGTAAAACTGTCTTTATTTACAGATAAAAGATCATGTATGTAAATCCTAGGCAATCTGTGAAATTATAGAACTAAGTGAATTTAGAAAGGTTATAAGATATACAATTATATTTCTGTATTTTTCTCGAGTAGCAATGAACAATCAGAAATTGAAATAAAAAAACCACTTACAGTAGAACCAAAAATATTGCTTGGAAGTAAATCTGACAAGAGAACTGTAAGACCTAAATGTTGGAAGGTTCAAAACATTAGGAAGTTCAGTCATAGTATGTTTTAGTTTGTCCTGCATAGGTCTCAGGGTGGTCCTTTAATATGAGGACCTATGTGATATACATACTGGAAAATTTTCAAATTTGCTTTTTATTGCTTCTCCCCTATTCTGTATTTTCTAATTTCTGGAGTTTTTCCTGTTCGATTTTTCTTACTTTGTTCTCTACGTTTCTGAACCTTTAGTTTTCCATCTTCTTGTTTGTTAATTGATGCAGTCTGATTTCTTCAGCTTTGTCTTTTCCTTTATTTATTAATATTATTTTTAAAAATTCTTTTAAAAATTTATTTATCTTTAAAAGATTTTATTTATTTGCCAGAGAGAGAGAGAGAGAAAGAGCAAGTGAGCACAAGCAAGGGTGAGGGGGAAAGGCAGAGGGAGAAGCAGGCTCCCTGCTAAGCAAGGAACCTGACATGGGACTCAATCCCAAGACCCTGGGATCTTGATCTGAGCCAAAGGCAGTAACTTAACCAACTAAGCCACCCAGGTGTCCCTGTCTTTTCCTTTATTAATCGTCCTAACCTATTCTTTAACCTGTTTATTGCATCTGCAAGTGCCTGCAAGTTTGTTTACTTCAGTGTAGATTTTGATTTTGACTTCATATCTCATATTCAGCAGGAGTTGATTTTGTTTTCAGCTGATGCTTGTGGTTGTTTTCTTGTCCTAGGGCTATCAACTGTCCTGGACTAGAGTTTATACTAATTTTTCAAGGGACCCTATACTGACTGTGTAGGTAGTTTAAATTCAGATGCCATGAGTGGGGATTCTGTTTCATGTCAGTGATTTGTCCTGCCTCCCTAACCTTAGCTGACAGAGTTTTGCCTCTCTGTGGTAGTACAAAAAGCCAGTTTCTATATACCTCTCGCTTTGCCTTTTCTCATAATTTTTTGGACCTTGGGAGATTTTCCTTTTTCAGTTTTGATCTTAGCTACATATTAATTACATATTTTTAAAATTTGTTTTGTCCAACATTTTCTTATAATTTTAGTGAGAAAAGAGTCTTATTTTTGATATAGTGTTCCATGTTTTCAGATATTGCATATTTTTATTTGTTTTTACACCAGTTAGTTATATTAGTTTCATTTATTTATTTTTAATTTTACTTTTTTTAAAGATTTTATTTTTAAGTAATCTCTGTACCCAATATGAGGCTCAAACTTATAACCCTGAGATCAAGAGTCACATGTTCTACTGACTGAGCCAGCCAGGCACCCCTCACTTGTTTATTTTTAAGATATAATTTTTCTTTTTTGTCTATGGAGGTGATCTTTCTGTGATACTCTTTGTTTTTGGATTGTTGGTCTCTGTTTTCTTCCAGATTTATAGTATTTTAAAAAAAGTTTTGATGGAATATATTTTTATTTATTTCTATTGAAATATATTAAATATTCAAATAAATACATTTATTTGAAAGCATCTCACTTTCAAACTGAGTTTATCTTTGAAGGAATTGTGGCAATTTTTGAGTGTATTTAAATTCTTTTGTCAAGACACACCATCCCAAAGAGTTCAGTTCATTCTTGGTACTGAAGATGATGACGAAGAGCACATTCCCCACGATCTCTTTACGGAAATGGATGAACTGTGTTACAGAGATGGTGAAGAGTATGAATGGAAAGAAACTGCCAGGTAATAACACCTGTATTACTAGTCTCAGTATTTAGTTGGCTTTTCTTGATTTTTTTCCTTGTGTTGTAAGCATAACGAATTTGTGAGTTCCTGGGTGCTTTAAAATAATGAGAGAATTTCTTCTTCTCTGGAAGCTATAGTTTATCTCTTTATTCTCAAAATTGGTTTTCTTAAGTAATCCTTAGCACTTCAGCATAGCATAGAAGTAATTATGTTAATTATACATTTTAATGTCTTTAATTAGAGAAATAAATTTCAAAAATCAAGGCATATGTTCAGTTTAGAGGAGGATTAGCAGTGGGAACCACAAGGTTCTGTAGTTTGTCTTTGTAGACCTATTATTGTGTAGCTAGAACAGAATGAGGAACTGTATAGGTTGTAATGTGTGAATAGAGTGGACCATTAGCTCGATTTGTAAAAATGAGTTTGTAGCCAAATTTTGTGTTGGTAGTGGTAATCTTTTTCTCTTTAAAAGAACAAGTATATATATATAAAAAAAAGAACAAGCGTATGTTTATTATATTAAAATAAGCAAATGAAATCATCATTATTTACAAAATATTTTTATGTGTTGACATATTTCAGATGGCTGAAATTTGAAGAGGATGTTGAAGATGGTGGTGACCGATGGAGTAAACCTTATGTGGCAACTCTTTCTTTGCACAGTCTTTTTGAACTAAGAAGTTGCATCCTAAATGGAACAGTGATGCTGGACATGAGAGCAAGCACTCTAGATGAAATAGCAGGTTAAGCAGTTTGACTCTTTCAGTACCTATGTTGTGCTGAAATTAGCAATATTTAAATAAGGAAAATGAGGTGGGATTTTAGAGCATTGATGAATTGCTCTTGGTTGAACTTCTGTCCTCGGTAAGACAGCTGAGGAGTTCACATATAAATAACCCTCTTTGTCTTTAATAAACCTAGAGTCTAGAAGATTAATAAATTAGACAAGCTCAACTACAGTACCAAAAAGAAAGTGACTAGTGCCATAAGCAAGATATGCAGTCTGTTTCTGGAAATGTAGAAAAAAGAGCTTTTTGTTTCTTCAATTTTTGGACCAAGGTATCTGGGGAATATCCACAAGGACATTAAATGTACTACTTATTTACTACTTATTTATAGACTTTGAACACATGAGAACAAGGAGCAGGTGGTACAGGAGAAAGAAAGTATTCTGAGAAGGAGGAAGAGAAGGAAGAAAGGTCTAAAAAATATAGAAAAACAGGTATGGATCTCACATGGAAGTCAGTTCCCTGTGAGTATACAGATTTCTTGAATAGTATTAGGAGACATTACTTTGGCTTTGCAAGGATCACATAACACAGAGCAATGTTTTAATTATTTACAATGTAATGTCTTCTAATCCAAGGTCCCTTTGTATAGTAGGCTGTAGTACTTATGTTAATGTTACAGTCTACCTATTAGGTTGATTCCAGTTTTCTCTCAGAGGAATCTCTTATGTTTGAAAGCTTGACTGTTTTATCTCAAATTAGTGGCACTGTTTTAAAATATTTATATATATTTTATAGTTTAAAAATAGTCTAATCACTACAATAATGTATCATATGGCATTACATCAATCTCTCCATTCCCCATACCTCCTTCACAGGCTGATATACTCATCTTCCTAGAATTTATTACTTCATGATATTTTATGCTTTCATTTGCTCATTGGTTTTTCCAGCTCTGGTAGAGTGAGAGCGGAAACTTGATCTCCTTAGCTAAATTCTGTATTCCCAACATGTAAGGTACTCAGTAAATAGTTAATTATTGAATGAAAGAGTCCAATACTCATCTATAATTTTGACAAAAAATAGGAAGTGAGGAAATAAAATTCCTTCACTTCTTAGGAAGCCAATATTACTGAATATTGAGTTTAATAGAATTTATTGTGTCCATAGCAGGAAAGCACTTTCAACTATAGGAAGGCTATTAGTGTAGAATAGTGACCTCTTTAGAAATAACAGCATTTACAAAAGATAGGGGTCTCCATGTAACTTGTTTACTTTTCTTAAATAATGTTCATATTTATCTTTCTTTCTTTTTTTTCTCCTCCTTTAAATTCAAGTTAGTTAACATATAGTGTATTATTACTTCCGGGGGTAGAATGTTGATTCATTAGTTGCATATAACACCCAGTGCTCGATACATCAAGTGCCCTCCTTAATGCCCATCACCCAGTTACCCCATCCTCACCTACCTCCCCTTTAGCACGTATTTATCCTTATGCATACATTATTCAATATCAGAAGAGAATGATATTTTCTAGAGAACTATTTAAAGGTCTTATTTTTCGGTAAGGTTTCATGTACATTTTATGGTTTATGTTATAGCCCTCCAAGTATTCGTTTATTTAATAAAAACGGCTGTTATTTTTCTTTCAATAGATATGGTATTGGATAACATGATAGCCTCTGGCCAGTTGGATGAGTCCATAAGAGAGAATGTCAGAGAAGCTCTTCTGAAGAGACATCATCATCAGAATGAGAAAAGATTCACCAGTCGGATTCCCCTTGTTCGATCTTTTGCAGATATAGGCAAGAAACATTCTGACCCTCACTTGCTTGAAAGGAATGGTGAGATAAGTTGTGGCATCCAATTTCACTAACACTTCTACTCTAACAGCATTCCAGTGTACAATTAGCATTTGGGGGCAGAAAGATATTTTTTCCAGATAATTCTGTAGATCATTTTATTATTTATTAAAAAGTAATTTTATTATTATTTTTTAAAAAGTAATTATGTTACTTTTGTATTTAAAAATATTATTTCTAAAATATTCTTTATAACATGACAGTTAATCTGTAGAAATCATTCAGATGAAAAAACTAAGTATTCACTTTGTTATAATGGCACATTTATCACTATAGCCAATCCTGAATTACTTCTTGCTTTTTTGTTTTTGTCAAGAACACTTGAATAACTGATTAAAGAGACATAAATCATGATCTGTAAGTTTAATCTTTTATTCTAAGTCTTGGATTTGAAACTTTATTATTTATATTAGATTTTTCATAGTGATTTTTTTGTTTGTTTCCCCAAATATACTTTATTTGCAGAGCATAAATAAGTGTTTTTGGGTTGGTTTGATGATTTGACTGCCCTTTATTTATATACTTTATGTAAGGTTTTTATGGATGGTTTGTTCTTAAGCTACGGATGACTTCCTTGATGTCTTCCAAACCATTGAGAAGGGCACAGACCATTTTCTAGCTCTCAGCTGTCATGGTCTAGCAGTGGATTATGTGGGACCTGGTGGCTTATGTGGGGATGCATTGTTTTTGTAGCTATTCACCTCCATCACTGTTTTAAGGCTGGCACATCTGGAGGCAGAGGATACTTCCCTGGGGTTCTGTTTTGGCTCTCAAAAAGAGCTCTGATGACAGTGACTCTGCAAAACCTAGGTACAAAGGGCTGGAGTTGCTTAGGAGGATCCTTCTTGCCTCTAGCTGATACCATTACCCAAGGATTAGAGTTAAGAGGGGTGGTTGATGGACGGCAGTGTCTTTCTGTTCATCTTCTTTGTCCCTGCAATAATAGTATGGCTTTTAAGTATTCTACAAACAAACAGCCATTGGGGATGGGGTTTAATATATCTAGAATGGACAGTAATCATCTTTTGCAGCTCAGCGTGACATACTTAAGTCCATTTTCTTCTTATGGACTTAAGTTCAATTTTAAAATTAAGCCATCCATGCCACATTTTGTGTCTTTTTCATCTTCATGTACTGTATATTCTCAGCTTTCCTGAAATGAGTTCATTTACTCAGAGAGACCCTATTAAGTCTTTATGCTTCACGTGGAATTGTTCCTGATATTCCCTGATTGTCATTTGTTTCCTTTTAATCATAAGACAATGGCTGTTTTCTTTTAAATGTCATTTTAGCATGTGCATGCCATTTTTTTTGTATTATAGTTGTAATTTAACAGTTTTTCTGCATACAGCTTTAGTTTTAACTAAGTTGTGGTTGTTTATGAACTAAGGTTCATCTTTTTAATATTTCTGGGATCTCTTGAGCATATGGCTTTGATAACTTAGATCATATAGGATTGATTGTCATAGTTCTCATGTTTTTCCTAAAATCAGTATTATTCCACTAAACTACACTTCTTAGAATACCAGGTCTTTGAAATATAAATGTATACGACCTTTTGAAATAGCTAGACTTACTTCATCTTTGCCACTGTTGGTGAGAAATACTTTATTATCTAGCTAAATTAAATTGTATGTATTTAATTTTATCTGCTATATTAGAAATGGATGCATATTTTAGGACATTACTAGTATCTTTACAGGGCTGAAGAATACCCTTTCAAATTGACACTGTTTAAAAAAAAAAAATTCCTGTAACTTTCCTTACGTTTTTAAAATTTTACTTGAGAGCACTACCAGTAGGTGATGCTCTACTGACTAATGTAAAGATTTGGTATCAATTTTAAGTTAGGAATTATTAGATGATACAAACCTTCTTTGTGAGAGAATTATCTTTAGCAGCTTGGGTGTAGTGTAGGAAAAATACACTAAATATAATCTATCAGTGCTTGTAAGTTTTGTTTAAGGTTTTATTTCTTAGATTATTTTTATATTACCTTATTTGCTATTTATTATTTATCAACTTTGCATTGATAGTTTTTTTAAAAAGCCACATTATTGAATATTCTGATTACTAACAGAATATTACCCCCCACCATCAATCATTTGCATTGTTTTTTATTTTCTGGATACATCTTCAGGGAACTAAGTATAATTTAAGCAGCTTTTCATTGCCTTTCTAACATTTAAACATCTGATTGCCATGCTAACTCTGATAGCATGAATTTGAAATTTTGGGCTTTAAAGCTTGCAGTTTGCATTGTAAATTGATGTTATGTGTGTGTGTCTGTTTGCCTTCTGCAATGAACTTCATCATTTTTCATTTATTTGTTTTATCTCAGGGGAAGGCCTTTCAGCCTCCCGCCACTCTTTGCGAACAGGTCTGTCTGCCTCAAACCTTTCATTGAGAGGAGAATCGCCTTTATCTCTTCTTCTCAGTCATCTTCTTCCTTCTTCAAGAGCTGGAAGCCCTGCAGGCTCAAGGTGTACAACCCCAGTACCCACCCCTCAGAACAGCCCTCCTTCCAGCCCTAGCGTCAGTCGCCTGACCTCCAGAAGTTCCCAGCAGAGTCAGCTTCAGGCCCCAGAACTACTGGTTTCACCTGCCAGTGATGATATTCCCACAGTAGTAATTCATCCGCCTGAGGAAGACTTAGAAGCACTGAGAGGCCAGGAGCAGAAGAAGGAGGAAAATGTTGACATGACTCCAGGCAACTATTCGCATCCTCCTTGTGTGGTGCTTTCTGCCTCCGGATCACTTGCACTTGGAATGCCTTTCAGCACAGAGCTTTAGCAGCATATGTAGATAATGCTTATAATTTATTTTGACTTCTGCATGGTTTTTTTCCCCTTATAGTATATTGTAGAAAAGAACAGAAGTATTAAACATTTTTAGATTACAAAAAGACTGCAAAGAACTACACATAACTTAAAGCCCTTTCAAAAATTTTTACTGAGATTTTACAGGTCAGGGCATTTGAATGGTTCAGAAAAACAAATTTTTATAAGTAATCTTTTAATTTTCCAAGATTTAAAAAAATGGTGGCTTCTAGTGCATTTCCTTCATAGTATGAATGAACACATCTTGGACATAAATTACAATGAGGTGATGTGCCTTTTAGCTACTATTTGTTGCTTTTTTCCAAGGACTGCAGTATATTTTAACCTTCCTAACACAAATAGGATCGAATGTTCTTTTCCTCCATTTGTCTCTGAGAAGATCAAAGTTCTCTAATGGCTATCTGGAATCATCATTATTTTAAGACTAGTATTATATTTTGGGATAGACTTTAGTTTGTCCTCTGTTTAATGTCATAGCTACCTTTACTCCAAATTGACCTTGAAATTCTTAAGGCCAGAGATCCTAGACTAGTGGCTAGGATATATTTTTGTCTGTGAATTAGAAAAATTATTTCTTAGTGGCTAAAAGGTTTAATAATTCATCCAAGTGTTAATATTATGGTAATTTTATTTCTTCATAATATATTAGTTATATGTACATTTAAACATGTATATCTTTCCACTCAATTCATATAAAGAAGTATTCTTTAGTGACTGTTTTTTTACTGACAGCTAAGTGTCAGTGTGACATGTAAATGCTAGCTAGTGGTTTTAATCATATTTCCATTTCTTCATAATACCAATAACATTTAACACTTCACTGATAACTTATGTTTATTGTATTAGCTATTCAGTGTGTATAAAAATTAGTGTCAGTTAGGTGGATGCACCCATTTTTCAGAAACTCAGATTCTAAAACTCAGAAACTCAGAAAAGCTAGAGAACTTCTCCCTGGATCATAGAACTAGTAAGTGATAGCCTAAGTCCTCTGACAAAATCCTCGAGGTCCTATCATATATGACAAACTTCTTCTCTGTATTGAATTTCTCCAGACATACCAAGTATATTTAATCAAGGCTTATTGTAGTTGCCAAAAAAATACATACTTCTAGAAGTAAAAAATGGACATATGGTGGCTAAATCATTATACATTAATTATGACCATAGCTATAGCTTCCGTTGTTTTCTAGCTTGTTCTACATGCAGTGGTATTACTTTTCAAATATATTTATAATTCTCCTAACAGTTTGATGAGGTTCTTGTTATTCCCTATTTTACAAATGAAGAAAACAAAGACTTATTAAGATCATGCCATAAATGACCAGAAATTGAACTCAGATCTAGCCACAGCAAAATCTGCAGTATAATATATCATTGTAGATTTTAATACCTTGTAGAAAATGTATAGTAATGAGGTAACTGAACAAAAAGAAATACCTATAATTATGTACTCAGAAGTAATCAACAGTCTTAATTAGAAAGAACCAGCAAGACTTACTATTTTTCTTTGAAGAAAAGTGATTTTTTTTTTTTAAAGATTTTTTATTTATTTAGTTGACAGAGATCGCAAGTAGGCAGAGAGGCAGGCAGAGAGAGAGGGAGAAGCAGGCTACCCACTGAGCAGAGACCGATGTGGGGCTCTATCCCAGGACCCTGGGATCATGACCTGAGCCAAAGGCAGAGGCTTTAACCCACTGAACCACCCAGGTGTCCCAAGAAAAGTGATTTTAAACTTAATCCTTTGCATTTATTTTTACTTATATCTAGCAGTAATACTGAACATTTCTTGTTTTACCAGCTTCTATGAGGGATTATAAATTTTATAAGGGAACTAGGAGATGATACACAGTTTCACAGTAGCTTGTTAGGCCATGTTGTTAAGAAGATAAAGGTAGCAATTAACTGAAAATTGAAGAAATTCAGCTTTTTTTTCCTCCTCTGCCATAAGTATGCCATGAGATTTAAAGAAAAGAAATTAGAATGGAAGGAAAAGAGGAATTTCTAAAGACAAGGAAAAGCCCATAATTACTGTTTAAAAAGACATGTATAGAAGGTATATTATTAAAATTATAGGAACAGCTATATGTTGTTCCCTGGTATGATTACCTGTGGTGCTTAAAACACCTAGACACTCTGGTTGAGTTTCCTTGAAATCTGCTGTTATGTTACAGGAGGAAAGTGGCCTTAGCATCATTTTGGAGAGACTGATGTCCTAGATCTGTCATGGGATCATGATTTGTGCATACCCATAGTAAGAAAGAAAGTGGTGTTTCCTATTGTGTTTTGGAGAATAATTACATGTAAAAGAGTTAAGCTTAGTTTTAGTATTTGTAACTATCTTCTGACTCCCTGTTTTTCAAATTTGGCACTGTTGACATTTTGGGCTGGACTCATCTTTGTCATGAGGGGCTATCATGTGAATTGTAGGATGTTCGACAGCATCCCTGGCCTCTGCACTAGCTGCCAGTATTACTCCCTAGTTGTGGTGATGAAAAATGTCCCTCCCTATTGCCAGATGTCTCTTGGGGGGCAGAATCTTCTCTTTGTGCATCACTGCTTCAGCTGCTTCTGTTTTCAATCTTTTAGTGGCAGAAGACTCTGATATCTTGGATTTATCTTTCTCTAGATAGATATGTTATTGTGAGAAAAACTGTAAAGACAAAAGAATAGATTTACCAAAGTACGATTTTTAAATCCGAGTATTGATTTTATATATATACAGACATTGTTTTTTCTTAAAGCCAAGAAGTACAGTCTTTCTGAGTTATCTGTGCTAGTGATAGTTTTAATTTTGGGGAATTTACTCAGTTAATTCTGAGCACTGGAATTTATTTTACAAGCAGGGAGACTTCCTTTACTGGTTGAGAAATAGCTTTAACTTAGCTGAGATTGGGAAGGACTACATAGAGAAGATACTGGTGAAAAACTCTAATGTATACTTCTTATGCCAGTTCTAATAGGTTTAGGATGACCAGGTTAGCTGGATGACTTCAGATCCTATTCTAACTTTACCTGTATTGCATTTCCACATCATTTCTTCTTCCCGCTCCCACTATATCCTTACATTCTCCCAATAGTCTCCATTCTACTCTTCTCTCTAAAATCTGGTGGCTGACACTGTTCTGGGAAATTGCATATATATTCTTTTGATTATACATGTGTGGACTGAAGTGTTTAGTAGTTAGAAGTGTATGTATTGATGGTCATGTGCAGTTGACACCTTGACACCAAGGCCTTATTGGTATGCCTTTGAAAAATACTGGTTAACCTTTTTTTATCCACCCTCCCCCCCAAAACTGGGCATGTATTTTAATAAAGGAATGGACTCTATTCTGGAATTTCAGAGGCAAAGGTCAAAGAAGAGGAATCATAGTAACTATTCTGCTAAGCTAAGGTGGTAGAAATGAGATAAGTTTTAGCATATAGTTTTTATTTGAGAATTGTTCAACACTTCCAGGGCATGTAGCTAAATTGTTTGTATATGCTTTTTGTTTGTTTGTTTTTTGGTTTTTTTTTAAGATTTTATTTGATACCTAGTGTGGAGCTCAAACTCACAACTCCAAGATCAGGAGTTGCACACTCTACTGACCAAGCCAGTCAGCCACCCCAACAGTTACATATGCTTTTTATACTTAGGCTTTAGGGTCATGGTAATATCCTGTTTTAGGTATTTAACAAGAGAAGGGGATATCACAAATGTCTTCGGTCACTGAGTTTGAGTAGTAAACCCAAATGACGTAGATCAATTATTAGTTACACTGTGTTCTAGAAAAATGAAAATTCCCTCTCATGGATCAGATATATCCGATGTGCTTAAAATTCAGGAAATTTACCAATATTAACTTTAAAGTTTATAGGATTTAGGCACAAACCGCTTAATTGAATTTCTGTGGGTAGCTAGATTGTTGTGTGAGTGGCAGAGTTAAAACTGAAAGTCAGGTCTGTTGTAGGTCAGCCTACCACCTTTTTTCTTGTGCTCAGTGTTTTGGGCAATAATAAACTATATTCTTGAACCAGAATATCCTGGGTGTTTTGAAAAAGTGAGATACATTTAGTGGTAGAAATCTGTGTTGTGTACTTTATAAACATTGAGACTTGAGCTTTTTGCAGACTTCATAGGGATAACAATTGGTCACAGGCTGTAGGGTTTTTTTTAGATTATTTTATTGTTGTGAAATATTGCTGCTGAATATCAGTTGAAATGAGCATACTAATGATAGAATGTATATCTATCATTTGTAATCTAAACAAGCTAATTTTACAGATTTGTCTGAGCTTTTAGGTTGAGTGAGTTAAAGTCATACGGCTACAAAGTGGCAGAGGGTGCTTATTTCAACACAGATGTGTTTGATTATAAAACACTTTTTGTATTTATACTGTAAAAACATTGCTATTATATTTTCAAGTTATACTTCTTAGGAGTAATGGCAGTAGGCAGCACGTAAATACTACCCAAGAGAAGTGAAATTATTGAGGAAATCATTATGGTGGAAGATTATGATAAATTTAACCTACATTTAATTGATGGAGCTCTTGGATTTTCTGAGTTGCATTTAAGGTTTATCAGAAAATAAATACTGTTACTGATGTAAGTATGCCAAGTGTAATTTGGCATCATTAAGCTCTGCAGTTGGCATGTGTGTTATGTACATCGCAAGTGCATTCCTTGAGTATTTGTAGTGGTGTAGTCAGACTCAGGTCTTCCATTTTCTGTGTTCCTCACCTACTCACTTTTTTCCTTCTCTTTGCAAATGGCCACCGTTTTTGTAAATTCCAATTGTATTATTTTTAAATGTTAAAATATACAGCTTCATTATTGCTTAAAATGTTATTCTAGTCTTGCTGGTATGATACTAACACTTGGCACTTTTTTTTTTTTTAAACCTTGCACATTTGCTTTTAATAAATTATCACTTTCAGGATATGAGCAGAGTCAGTTTACAAAGTGAATTTCCTCCTTACTGATTGGGAATATTTTGGTTCTTAAATACAGGTATTTTGGCCTCTCCACAGTCTGCACCTGGAAACCTGGACAATAGTAAAAGTGGAGAAATTAAAGGTAATGGAGGTGGAGGAAGCAGAGAAAATAGTACTGTTGACTTCAGCAAGGTAATTCTGTCATTCACTGTAAATTTTCTTAATCACTGAGATTTTCATAATCACTGAGAAAATCACTAGCAATGTGACTTTATTAGCACTGATTATAATAATTTTTTAATAGATTGGTGATTACAAGCCTACATGTGATACTTGTGATACTTAAGGTCAAAAATTACGAGAAAGTTAACAGTCTTAAGAGCATTTGAATATCTTTATATATTACTAGTTTCAGGAATTTTGACAAAAGAATATGTGAATAATATGGTATTTCCATCTTATACCTACCCATAGATATCATGAAACTTTAGTACCTTTTGAATTTGTTCTGGAGCTACTTCTAGCAGAAAGAATAATTCTGGGAATTATGTTAAAGCACTGGTGATTCAGCCTTTTCTTGGCTGTAACAAGATCCCAGAATTACTGTCTTACAGTGTCAGTATTTTCTGGAATGTCCCTGGGAAAAGTATTGGTTTATCCCCATGGGTAGGTAAAGGCATGGATTTAAATACAACTCACCTATCTCAACTGTGATTTTTTATTTTGGTAGATGAGTATTTAGGTGAAATAAAAATGGAAAACTCAAAATTTCAAAAGAACTGGGCAAAAAACCCTTAAGTTCAAATTGCAGTTGAATTTAAAGCATACTTTATGAGTACTCCTTCTGAATAGTTGATTCTGTGTGGCTGTTACAACTTCTGATTAGTTTGCTGTAAGACACTCTATTTTAACATCGTTGTATCCAATTTAAGATTTAATTAAATGTGACTATTTCAAGTAAGATGCATTTTCTTAAGCCTCTTATGGTATAAAATCTATAAATCACATTTTGCAGAAAAGGAGTATAAATAAATGATTTGCAGTATGGCTTTGCTTGAGCTTCTTGCTCTAAAATTATAAAAGTATTTTTAATTCTTCTATTCTAACTTGACCATATTTTTACTGGTACCTCTGTTATTTCAGATGAGTGGAAAGTGTTTAGTAACCATACTGCAGCTTATTCTGGTTAAATGGATAAATGTAACTTTCATTAGACATCTCCTCTAGACATGGCAGATGCCGTTTATTTCTGTTCCTCTGTCACAGTTTTACTTATTTTTACTTGGCCTATCCTTGTGTACCCCTCCTTGTCTCCTGTTGGGCAGGAGTCTGCCTCCTGGCACTGTAGTTGTGGCACACTGGGTGTGGGACTCAAGAGGCCCGCTGTAAGTGCTGGTTTCATTTCTCATAGATAGCCCTCTAAGTGGTCGTTTAGTGACTTGTGTGAAACTGCATAGAAATGAAGTTCCCATACTTTGATATTATGTTGATAACCTTTTCTTTGTAATTATACACAGACTACTAAATTTGATTTTATAGCACTATCCTAAATCTATACCAGTGATGGCTATTTACTTTAGTTTTAAATAAAAATAAAAACAGTTTTTTGCCACCTAATGAAAATACCAAGGAATACACAGAGCTTTTTTTAAAATAAAAAGGACTTATAACAATATATGTAAAATATAAAAGGGCTAATTCATTTCTAAGATTAAACAAAAATAATCATGAAATGAATAATTTTTAGCACTGTGTATAATTTCATGAGCCATTGTTAGTTTGTGAATATATTTTTGTTCTTAATAGTTTTTAATGACTAGTGCTATAATCACTGAGAATTTTCTCTAGTTTGTATGTTTGAAAATTTAGATCTCCGAAATAGTAAAGAAAAAACAGTTGGGAGCATTGTTTGATAGATATGTTTTGCTTGCTTTTTTTGTTATTTGTCTACTCCGTTCTTTATATGTGTGAGAGTTTTGGTGTTTTTACATCTATTAGATCTCTGGTTTTTTAGCAAATAGTAGCCTTAAAAGGAGTTTTTCTTTCCTATTTACCTCTAAGTAGACTTAAAAATACCATATAAATTTGATTTTAATTATTACTTATTTGTCAATAGGTTGATATGAATTTCATGAGAAAAATTCCTTCGGGAGCTGAGGCATCCAATGTTCTGGTGGGAGAAGTAGACTTTTTGGAAAGACCTATAATTGCATTTGTGAGACTGGCTCCTGCTGTTCTCCTCTCAGGGTTGACTGAAGTCCCTGTTCCTACGAGGTAGAGTTAGTTCTGATTAACACTCTCAGCATGGCTCAAATTTAAAAATTTTTATCTATTGGTTAAAAGGAGCATTTTTGCTTTTAAAAGCTTATTTTAATATTGTCATTGCACCGAATGCTTTGACTAGTAGAGCATAAAAGAGTTATCTTTCTTTCTGGAATTAAAAACAAAAAGAAAGCATCCTTTTAAAAAATAATTAGCATTTATACCTTTATAAGAGGTTTGGTGTTTTAGGAGCTTTGGTTTAAAAGGCAGCTCATCATTTTAGACCTATTATGTTCTGTGGAGTCAGAATGGAATTGAATCTTTGCCTGGCCACCTTTTCTGGGAAGGTCAAGTCTGACTTAAATTTCCTAAGCTTCACTTATAAAATGAAGATGTGATTACTTCATAGGGTTGATTAAATGTAATAAAATGCCTCTGAATTAGGTAAAATGCTTTGTTCTGACCTGACCAAAAATTTCTGTTCAGTATACATAAGAATTAGCAATTTGTGTTATAGGATAATCAGTTTATTAGCTACTGACTATATAAATTTGATTGTAAATAAGAATTTTAAGAATAAAAAAAATTTTAAGAATAAAAAAATCATTTTTATAATAGTAAAGATGAAGAATTAATTGTAACTTGATTAGAGTATATGTGCCTGTTTCTGGTATGTTTTCCTGGGTTACATTAATGGTATAGTATTAAGATAAGTGAGAAAAAGAATTCTGTAGATTCACATTTAAATTCTCATGAAACAAGAAGATGAGTACTTCCAATTTGGGTGTGAATATTAATATCTTACTGTAGTGTTAATGAGGATATAACTAAGTATGAAGTTAAATACTTTTTATTAGTCATTTATAAATAAATTTAAAAAATAAAATAATATGAAATTTGATGTTAAATTTGTGGAGTTGTGAATAAAAATTCTTTTTCCTTGCAGAGTTCCTTTTTTTTTTTTTTTTTTCTTTTAAAGATTTTTAATTATTTACTTGACAGAGAGATGAAGTAGAATAGCAGGGAGAGGGAGAAGCAGGCTTTCTGCTGAGGAGGGGTGGGGCTCCATCTCAGGACCTTAACAGACTGAGCCACCAAGGCGCCCCTGCATATAGTCCCTTATTTACCGCAGTAGAGTCTTTATCCAGACCATAATTTGAGGGATTATGAATTTTTTGTGTATACTCTGTGCTATTTTAATTAGGTAAACCTTACTTCTAAGTATTTAGTGGGATTGGTATTTCCATTATTCACTAATTTACTTTTTCATCAGTAAAGATTAGATAAAATTGCTTATTCAGATTCAAAAAGGTAAAGAAAATGGGAACTTTTATCATAAAACTTTCAATTCTCTAATTACTTTTTTACCCTAAAGAAGATGGGGAGCAGTAACTTGGTAGAAAGTTAATTATGAATGCCTTGCTTAGTTTTGTGGTCTGCTTTACTATGAGTAGAGTGTCATCTTTTTCTCACTGATTAGTGTGGGAGGTGGGAAAGAGATCTGAACGTTGTTTCTGTGTTTACATTTGAATTATTTCTTTATGATTGCCTCGGTCTTTTTGTATATGTTGTTTTTATTAAAGTCTGTGTATTTTAATGTTTCTTTAGATTTTTGTTTCTGTTACTGGGTCCCGCAGGCAAGGCACCACAGTACCATGAAATTGGAAGATCAATAGCCACTCTCATGACAGATGAGGTAATTAAAATGCCCAAGAGGTAGATACTCATTATGAATATCATGTTATAAAATCTCTTAGAAGTGGAATTTCAGATCCTTTTCAAGTGGGCACTGATTTTGAAACATACTCTAGTTTTCTTTTTCTTCATAGTGAAGCTTACAAAATTGTCCTTGCTGTCTGTACTATTTTATCTTATTACCTCTTCAACTATTTGCCTTTGGTAAGGTCTTTGAGACCTTTCTGTCAAGATCAGTGGATGCTTTTTGGTCTTTTTCTCTCCCTCCCCATCTTCCCGTATTTGAAGTTATTGGCCACTTTTTTGAAATTTTGTCCATCCTGCATTTCAGGATATCATTTCTTTGGGTTTTGCTCAGGATTTCGTCTTTTCCCCCTTTCTGCTTTTTTTCTCCATAATTTCTTCCGTTTTTGAACCTTTTCACTGAACATGACTTATATTGACCAGGACTGCTGTCTCTATTTGGGGCAGAGATTTCTAATTGTTAGACTTATTTATCATATCTAAAGTGGATTTACTATGTTAGAATTTTCTTTCAGCTTTAAAATTTTTTACCTTTTTTTTTTGGTAGATTTTTCATGATGTAGCCTATAAGGCAAAAGACAGAAATGACCTCTTATCTGGAATTGATGAATTTTTAGATCAAGTAACTGTCCTACCTCCAGGAGAGTGGGATCCTTCAATACGCATAGAGCCACCAAAAAGTGTTCCTTCTCAGGTAAGAATCTACACAATTCTGTGAATTACTTTTTCTTAGTTAAAATGTTTTTGAATTGAATAGGATTCAGAAATCAAAACTATATATAAAAATGTACACTCAGAGAAGGTGTACTCCTACCTTATTCCATTTACCTTCTTATAAAACCCTATACCCACCTCCTGTGAGAGGGCCATTTGTTACTAGTTTTTTGTTTATCCTTCTAATTTTCATGAGTACAAGGAAATATGAATATAGTCCTATTTCTTCCTCTTTCTTACGAAAAGTTAACATACCACATGGATTGTTCTGCACTTTGCTTTTTTCATATGACAATATATCCTGGAGATTCAATCATAATATATCCTAGAAATATTTCTCATTTTCTCACAGCTTTGTTATGGGTCATTTATGGATATCCCGTAGTTTGTGCTTTTCCTGGGCTCAGGCTTTTGCTTTTAAAAAGCCTAGAACAGTGTTGATATGCCAATTTAGTCTTATGAAGGTGTATTTGTAAGGTAGATTCCCAGAAATAGGATTGCTGGCTCACATGGGAACTTACTTATAATTTTAGTCGATACTACCAGAATCCCTTCTTACTGGGTTGCACTGTTCTGGACTCCCACGCTGATGAATGGCCTTTCCCTACAGCCTCACTAACTATGTTGTCAGACTTTCAGTATTTATCAGTCTGATAGCTATCTTTATCCTACTATGTCAAGTACTTTAAAGTGGTTTTAATGTACATTTAGGTAATTAGTGAAGGTGAATATTCTTGGTTATCTGTAGTTCATCACTCTAACCCCCCTCAAAAAAAACACCTTTTCTTAGTATTGAACTCACTTGTTGATCCTTTGGAATTTATTATGGTGTATTACGTGGAGTATGCATCCAAGTTTATTTTTCATCTAAATTTTTAGCTGCCTTTTTGTTCTAGCATATTAAAAAGTTAAGTGTCAAGTACTGCTGCCTTACGTTTTCTAAATTTCCATTTTCATTCAGGTCTGTTTCTAGAATTTCTTTTCCATAGCCTGTCTATTCATGGACCAGTTCCACACTTTAATATCTGAGGCTTTTTAGCATATATGAATATCTAGTAGGTCTAGATTCCCTCTTGACCTATTACTCTTTCTTTTCCGAATTTTCTTTGCTGTTTCTGCATGTCTATTTTTCTATGAAAGCTTTAAAATCAGCTTTTAATTTCCAGAAATAAAACCTGATTTTTCAAAAATTGTGAAATTTGTAAATGAACTGAGGGAGAATTGACATCTTTGTAACATTGAATCATTCAAGAATATGGTATGTTTTCCCCCACTGGTTTTCATATTTCATGTCAGTTCTTAAGTCCTTAAGGAATGCAATAAAGTTCTCCTTATCTACGCTTACACACTTTTTGGTGAGTGTATTCATTAGCATTTTGTCTTTATTGTCTCTGTTGTAAATGAGGGTTTTTTCCATTATATCACCAGTTTGTTACTTTTCTATATGAAGGCTATTTGTTGCTGTATGTTTCTTTTTGATCTTCCTCCCTTTGTAGTTCTTTCATTGTATGTAAGTTTTTCAGTCATATCTGCGGCCAGATATTTTTATCCCTCCTTTTCTCATTCTTCCAGCTCTAATACATTTTCTATTGTCTAATTGTACTTACTGAAACTCTAGTAGTGTTAAGTGGTAGTTGACTTGAAATGGGCATTTCTTTTCTTTCTTTTTTTTTTTTTAATTAATTTATTTATTGTAGCGAGAAAGAGCGAATACTCCTGTGTAGATGTGAGTAGAGTGGGGTGGGATAGAAGGAGAGGGAGAGAATCTCCAGCAGACTCTGCTTCATCTCATGACACTGAGACTGGGACCTGAGCAGAAACTCAGAGCTTAACTCACTGAGCCATCCAGGCACCCCTAAATGGGCATTTCTGAATTTGTTCTGAACTGTAGTCCATTTTTTTTTTTAAAGATTTTATTTATTTAGTTGATAGACAAAGATCACAAGTAGGCAGAGAGGTAGACAGACAGAGATGGAGAAGCAGGCTCCCCGCTGAGCAGAGAGCCCAATGCGGGACTCGATCCCAGGACCCTGGGATCATGACCTGAGCTGAAGGCAGAGGCTTTAACCCACTGAGCCACCCAGGTGCCCCTGAACTGTAGTCCATGTTTTTAATGTTTCTCTCATTACGTCACTGACATTGGGGGCCAAAATACACATTTTTATCATGCTAAGAAAGTATCCTAATTTTTGTTTCATTGAAATTTTTAATATAAGTGGACATTAAATTTTTTCGAATAGCCTGTTAGCATCTCTGGAGATGATTGTATGAATTTTATTTACCGATTATGGTGGTGAACCATAGTAAAGGAGTATATAATACGAAAACACTCTTATGTTGATAGAATAAGCCCAGACTCAGCTTCATAGTGCTGGTTGTCTCTAATTTTTTTTTTTTTTAAGATTTTATTTATTTATTTGTCAGAGAGAGTGAACACAGGCAGACAGAGAGGCAGGCAGAGGCAGAGGGAGAAGCAGGCTCCCTGCTGAGCAAGGAGACTGATGTGGGACTCGATCCTAGGACCCTGGGATCATGACCCGAGCCGAAGGCAGCCGCTTAACCAACTGAGCCACCCAGGCGTCCTGTCTCTAATATTTTGTTTGAGTTGTTTGCATCACTGTAAGTAGATTAGTTTTCAGTATTTTGTGTTGTCTTCATTCACTCTTTGACATCTTTGTTACATTTGTTTCATAAAGGTAAATTTGTAAATTTTCCTCTCCTTGTGGTGTCAAAACTTTAAATGGCTTGGAATGATTTGGTTCTAAAAATTTGGAAGAATTCCTTTGTAAAGTGTTCTGAGTCTGAGTCTTTGGTTGTGTGGTGGGCTTCAGCAATATGCTTATTTCTTCTATGGTGATTCGCTTGTGTAAGCTTTCTGTTTTTTTCTGGGGTCAGTCTTAAGTTTTCCCAGAACATTACCTATTTCCTGTTTTTCTGGTGTCAGTTTTGGGAAATTATGTATTATTTGTGTATTACCCATTTCATCAAGGTTTTTTAATTTATTTGCATAACATTATACGGTATAGTCTGTGTGTGTGTATGTGTTTAGAAAATTTTCCTCAGTTTGAAGTTGCCTCCTTGTCATATCTTTTGCTGAGTATTAGCTAATGGTTTATATTTTTTCAAATAGAGCAGCTTTTACAACTTACTTCATTTTTCCTTTTTAAAAAAAGCATTTTGTGGCTCAGTTTCTGCTTTTATCTATTTTATTTCATTCCATTCACTTCAGGAAAGAATTTTGTTTTTACATTTCCTGAGTTAGATATTTATTTATTTTTATCCTTTTGTTTTTCTTAATATAAGTGCTTAATTTTCTTGAGTGATGCTTTTGCTATATCTCATAGATTGTGTTACATAGTATTTTTCATTATTTTTGTTTTTTAGGAATTCTGTCATTTTGTTCTCTCTTTCCCCTTTGAGCTAGGATATGTTAGTTTTAATTTATTTTCAAATAGTAAACATAAATTATAGATAAGTTTTGCTACTGAACATATAAACCAAGTAGTTTAAGTTTGTAGTTTACTCAGAGCTTTTGACTCAGGGGATTATCCAAGGATGAACACTCCTCCACCACCTTTCTCTCTTTCTTCTGTTTTTCTTTTTGTCTCCTTCCCTCTTGCTTCCTGTGTCACATACAACCTTTCACCCCTAGAAGTAACAAATTAGAAGTTAGCTTTTTTATCTTCAGGTGAGGGGGGCAGGGACATCCTTTATCATAAGAATCTTGAATTAGTAATAAGGTTTAATGGGAAATTTATTTTTATGAAAATGTGTTTAACAGTTAACTCTTGTATTAATGTCTTCAGGGAAGTAGTTTGGTAAAATAAATATGGCATTTACTTTTTTATTAATGTAATAATACTTTGCATTAGTTAGCATCAACAATATTTTAAATATTCTGGTTGGAGAGATGCTTTATTGGATATTTATTTTCCTGTGGCTGATTCATAATTTGAAATAGTGTGTATGAATGTGTTTCATAGTGTATTTGATATTAAAATACAAAATATAAAAAGCCAATCATAAGCATAAAATACTAATAGAGACAGATATTAGACGCTATTCTAAAGTGCAGTTTATTTAAAGTGGAGTTTATATTAGGAATCATTTTTTCTAGGAGTACTGATTAGATATGTAAACAACAAAAGATCTCCTATTCCCTCTAATTCAAGGGTACCGTCTTAGCTTTTTTAAAACAGAATTCTGAAAATATGTTTTTTGTGAAATGCAGGAAAAGAGAAAGATTCCTGTATTTCCCAATGGATCTGCCCCCAGCTCGGGTGATACTCCTAAAGAGGCCGACCACCATGCTGGGCCTGAGCTACAGAGGACTGGACGGTGGGTACAAATACTGATTCAGTGTGGGAGTCTTCTAGGGGGCTAGGGGTTGATTTGATGAAGAAGGCATAAAAATACTCTTTTTCTTTTTAAATATATGGAAGTTAGTCTTATACAGTGTTTTTTTTCATATTTAAAAAAGTATTTTGTAAATGTATGATGTTAAGGAAAATTATTCATTTTAAAATAAATTTACTAGTATATACTTGGATTTTGAGTATCAGGTTTTAATTTAAAGTGAAAATATTATGGATCATACAGTAAGAATATCAAGCAGTTACATAGTATATAGGGTGATTTACATTACCCATACAGAAGGTTCTTGAAGAAGGTGTGGAGTGCTATTAAAATTCTCCATATGAAGGTAGAGAATTATAGGAATAGAGAGGAATTGTAACTGATATTTTCTGTGTGTGTGCCTAGACTTAAAATTCTTAAATGAGCATTATATCATGAGATAATATAAAATTAGAGAGTGAAGCATAATTAAACCATGGTAATAAGCTTTAGAAACCTAGCTAGAAAAACTATTAAAGATGTTAATTTTTGCAATAAATACAGAAACATTGCTGGGTGCAAACATTGTCTTAAAATATTTTGTAGAAGTAGAGAAATGTTACAGTATTTCCATATTATAGCAAAGCATGTGGATATTGATATTGTAATCTATTGATGGTGGTGTGAACAGAAGAGATTTTGAATCTTAAATATTTGTTTAGCAAATCAGGTTATTTTATACAGAAACATTATTAGGTGGCATTGATGACATGCCTAAAGAATACTATATAGAAGAAAAATAACAAATGGCATACTGAATATAAAATTTAGAGAAACTTAAAACTTACAGTTTATTTATTGCCTAATGTATTATAATCTCTATCATAGAAAATAATCTCTGTAGAATATATATGAGATAGTCTCTATCATAGAGAATAAGATTGCCCTGGTGCGGAAAGTGGTGGTCTAATACTACCTGTTAGTGTTATTTCTGTTAGATCTCTGACTGAGATCGGGTTGTGACTGAGAAATACCAAATAGGACTCCCATTGATTTCATGGTCACACAAGAGCCTCCTATAAAATATAAAACAGTTGTTGATTTGAATATACAGTTTCATTTTCTAGATTGGCACCTTTTTTATTGCAAGTTGATTTCCCTTGCTGTCAGATTATTTATAGAGTAATTTATACTTGTCAATGTGTGTTTAGTATTTATTTCAGTATTAACTTTAAAAAAAGGTAGAATGGTAAACCTTGAAACATCCAAAGCATTTTAAAACATAAGATTAAATTTTTTGGTGTATTTTCTACAGAGTGATTGTATGTTTATGAGTCACAAAACCTTTTTGAATTACTGAGTTGTCTCTAGTATTTACTGAGTACCTACTATGTCCTAGACAGTGTTCTAGACACTGGTGATAAAGGCAGTGAACAAGAAAAAGCCTCTACCCCTCACAGAGCTTATATAAGATGTATCCAAGAGTCTGATTTAAAAAAAAAAACAAAACACATTAAAATGATAAGGCTTTAATGTGCAAATACAGATTTTAAATTTCCTAATTATAAAACCTCTTAGTTTTACTAATGTGCACATGAACTTGAGTATATATTCAGTAAATTAAATGCTTTGAAGTGGTTTTTAGGCTTTTCTCCTGGACAAGAAATACTTGTGTTATTGAGGTACTAATTTTAAAAGTCATTAGAATTATTTAACTCACTACTGACTGAGTCTAAGCACAACATACTATATTCATATTAAAGGGTATTTGGGGGACTTAGGATTTATATTATAATTGCCTTCCTGATATTTCTGATATTTGCCTTTAAGATTTATAATGTAGATAATAATTGATAGAATTGCTTATGCTCATTTTCATGAATGGAGTGTTAGGTCTTATTTATTTTATTGTATATTTTCTTGTGCATTTGTGTCTGAAATTACATTTACTCATATAAAATCATTTGCCTGCAGTCTTCTTAATATATAGTCCATAAAATACAGATGTTTATATGTCTTTTAACTTAATGAGATCTGCCTTTCCTCTATCAGTGGATTAGACTAAATGAGTGTATCTTCTATAATTTATATCATGATTTAAATAGGATATTAATTTTTGTTGACGAAACACTAGGCACCAGCAGTTTTATGTAGCCCATAGTTTTAGTTTGAACTAGCTAGAATCCTCTAGTGTACAGTTTGACGAGTTTCATCTCACCTATTTAGGCTTTTTGGTGGTTTGATACTTGACATCAAAAGGAAAACACCTTTTTTCTTGAGTGACTTCAAGGATGCATTAAGTCTACAGTGCCTGGCCTCGATTCTTTTCCTATACTGTGCCTGTATGTCTCCTGTAATCACTTTTGGAGGGCTGCTTGGAGAAGCTACAGAAGGCAGAATAGTGAGTACAAAGATTGGTAGTGGCCAGGCTCTTAGCTCTTCAGAGGCAAGTGTGTGTATGCATTTGTCTCACTATTCATACTTTCATTTGAAGAGTCTACCCCACAGCATGATTAACCTGTCCCAAAGCAGACTTCCCCCAAAGGTAATTGCTATGGAAAACATGGGGAAGCCATTTGAGCAGGAGAAGATGCACAGTTGAGGTAAAAAATAAATAAAGAAAAAAAAAGAGAGAAAAAAAAGAAAAAAGGTTAACCTGGCTTGCTGGATGAATGGTTTTATAAATTGAGTAAAAGGCTTGTACTACTGTCTTTGTTGTGGGGAGTGGGGAAGGGTTGCCTGTTGAACTGATGCCTGGTGGGTCATGGGTGGGGGATTTACTAGCTGGGCTACTTGATACTCTGTAAGGCATCATAGGATAGTTAGAGCTGTGCAATTGTTAACTCATCAGCCCTGGTGGCTAGGTGCTGACTCCACAACTAGTCTTCAGAAGTTGTAGACAAATGGTGGATTTTTAGTATTATTTTGCTGTTACTAAATTTGTGTGAAGGTAGATAACATTTTAATTAGAAAGTATAACTGAAAACTGCTCCCATATTTTGATATGACTAAAATGAAAGTTTTTATGATTTTTCGTTCTTGGTAATGCTGCATAAGGGGCTGTGGGAGGCATGATATCCAGTGCTTTGTAAAATGTTGAAAGACTAATTTTTTTGTTTATATACATTTTAATGGCATGTAAATGAGATTATTTGTAATTCTTGAGTGTATTTTATTTAATTGTATTTACTCTTGGGAGGAAACTCATTTTTTACAGATAAAAGATTTTAAAAATAGCCAAAAACTAAGTAATGGTAATTATTCAATTAAAATACTTCATGAGCTGAACCTGAGACAAACTTGACAACTGAAATTTCCTTTGAAACTATACTGGTTTTGATTATTTAGATTCTTTTACCTTATTCTACAGTAATTGTATCAAGGGAATCTATTTTTAGTAAGTTGCTTTTATATGCTGTCTCAAACTGTATATGTAACTCTGCTGGTCCCCTGGAGATGTGTCTTGTCTGTTACCATCACGGAAATGCTGCTTGCTTTTCGACTCTCCAGCACTGCCTGCCCTTCTCGTCCCGCTGTTTAGCACCGCATGCATGTGGGAGTGCTTGAGGCATTGGGGGAATGCAGACAGCTGTGAGATGGACCGTAACCGAAGAGAAGAAGATAGCATAGTGTATATGTAGGTAACAGGTCATGGTGTGCTGTGCCACACGTGAGTGAGATCAAGGAAGAGCTGTAGCAGCTGAAGTACCAGGAACAGAGAAATCAGGAGTATTGCAGAGGAGAGTGGTGGGGAGATTATGCATTTGCTTTCAGGTGCTTTATTGGAACCTCAAGTAGGAGGTACAGTTCCAGAGTTTGTAGAGTGGCAAGGAGGAAAAACAAAGGTTGGGAATAGATGAGGTTAACAAGGGAGAGATTTTACAGTGACTGGAGAGGAGAAAAAGTGGGAAGTTACATTTGTGGACTAGAGGAAGAATGAGAATGAGGAGGAAAATGGCAAATTAGACATGGACACTGTCAGAACTTCAAAAGAGGAATCACCATGATGTGATTTTGCAAAAACCAAAATAGAGGCTTTGAGAAAGAAAGAGGAAAGAGGAATGTGGAGTGGCCAGTGCCATGCAGTGGAGAGGTGTATGGGGAGGATAATGGTAGGGCTTCTGATGGCTACAGTGGAAACTTGTGAATGTCATGAGGGGAAAGCGGGGTGGTGGGGCAGTGATTTCTTTAGGGAGAGAGACCTTTCAGTTTGGGAATGAACATAAAGTCAGTTGAGACAAAATTAGAAAAAGAATAGATCTGGGTAAAGGAGCTAGTGAGTGTGACAATAAGAGGTTGGGAGAGCAGTGGGGGAGTGGTGAAGGGAGGGTCTTCATCTGGCAGGTTCTGCCTTTTCAATGTGATTTTTGGAAGGAAAACTGTAATTTTGTGCCTATCCCTCTCACCACCCCCCTGCCCCTCGCCGTTAGCATTTCTTTGCCATCTCCTTGGTTCTCTTCTGAATTTTCTGCTTTCTATCTCTGTAGACATTATTTAGACATTTTTTTCTTTGACTTGAGCTCTACTTAAATTCATTCCTAAATTAGACAGTCTAATTGAACTAAGGATTTTATAATCGCTTAGCAGTTAATATGGACACTTTGTCTTGCCGAAAATATGTGAGTTTGATCCTATTTTTATAGTAATAGTTGAGTAATGCTTTTACTGCATACTATTATTTTTGTGATTTTGATTTTGGAAGACATTGTTATTTCTGATGATGAGATTTACTGCCATTTATTGAGTCCTTTGTATGGCAGCCTGTAAGCTTGTTAGGTGTTTGCACAAACATGGCTTCCTTAAGTTCTCTTGGCTTTGGTCACTCCTATTTAAAAAAGAGAAAGGTTGGGCTTGAAACGTTTGAAATACGGCTATGGCTTAAAGTCTAGTAGAAATGGGTCTCCTGCTCCAGTCTGGTTCTGAAGTCCGCTCTGCCTGCTGCTCTGCTGCCTGCCAGGTCCAGGAGGGGTGTTTCTCATGAGCTGCTTTTCCTTGCCTTACCAACGATGGGCTTTTCCTCTCTTGAGAGTGCCTTGCAGTTGACCTTGATGTTTGTAAATGGTAAACTGCTCTTCTCTCTCTGATCCCTCCCCTCTGTCTAGTGGCATAGGCCGTACCCCTTACTGTCTAATAACCTAATCAGTTAGAAGGTAATGTTGGTAGTGGTACAGAAACGAAATGCTCGCTTTAAGTAAAACTCTCCTGAGGCTTTCATTTTCTTATTTTATCTTTTTTAATCACCTCTTCATTTAATGGTTGCTGTGAGTTTTTTAAAGAGATTTTCCATCTATTTTAGGATAAAAGCATTTTATTTTTGATATCTGTTAGTTAAGCCCATCATATAAGATGAATGTCTTTAAAATGTGTAGAAAATTGCTTTTTAGAAATCATTTTGAGAACGATAGCATCAGTTGTTAATTTCTGATTTATTTACTTGAAAGTGTTTTTGTGCACACCATATGGAATATTTAATGTTTTCTGTTTTTTTTAAGTGAACTATTTCAGACATAACAAAAACATCCAAAATAACAAACGTCTTTGTACTCCCCACAAACTTAAAAAATGAAATACCTATAGATAGAGTTAAAATCTCTATATCTCTCTTCCACTTACTCCTCCCTCCTGGCCTCCCACAATAATATGTTTTGAATAAAGGTTGATTGTAAAGATCACTTTTAATATGAAAACAAAGCAGTTTTCCCTATGTATTTAAAATGTATTTGTAATTTTCCATATTTAAAATTTAAATTTGACTTAAAAGTTGTGTCTGCTTTATATTTTTAACTGCTTGATTAGTGTTTTTATTTTCCAGATGTCTTATATGTATATATTTTAGTAGGTTAGAAATAGGTTTATGATGTATTACTTCTATTCATTTCTTTTTTCCTTAAACAGAGTGCAATAGAGTCTCTTTTTGGAGCATCATTAACTGGGATTGCCTATTCGTTGTTTGCTGGGCAACCTCTAACAATATTGGGGAGCACAGGTCCAGTTTTAGTGTTTGAAAAAATTTTATTTAAATTCTGCAGGTACGTAATTGTTATTTACTTATCATATGTGTATAATTACATTGTTTATTAACTTTAGTTAAAGGTACTTTATGTATTTAGTAGCTGAAAAAGAGGACCTGATCAATATATATATTTTCAGCATTTGGGGGCTACCATGTAGTTGACCCTCCTCTGGTCCCTATTATCATTCCTACCCCAGTCACCTTGAGTATAAAATCAGTGGATTTGAGTCCTGGTCAACAAATCACTTGGGCAGTAAGAATCTTATGTTCTAACAAATTTCAACCCACTAAGAAGGTGTTAAACTAATTGTTGATTAGTTGGTGTGTTGGTCGTACAAAGGAATTTTAAAAAGAGGTGGATCTTGGAGGCTAAAGCTGACTTTTTCAGGCCTTATCAATCAGACAGCCATAGCTATCTGTTGTGTTGTCAGTCTCCACTGGCCGGGTCATTCACAGTGGGAATCAATGCATGGTACTATAGCTGGTAGACTTGGAATTTGACATGGCCAGTACTGTTCCTTTTGTGAGACAAGTGTAGTTGAATATTTTAGCCTGAAACAACTTAAATTATTAAATATTTGATTCATCTAACTCATCTTGTTCTGATTCTTTCTTCACTGAACAAGCTGATTTTGATTCCAATCTGGCATACTAAGTACATAGACTAAGAGGGAATGCAGTGTCCTGAAGTGTTCTGGACCCTGTGGTCTTAAAGTAATTTCTTACTTGACACTGAGTTTAAAAAATGAAGTCACTTCCTGCAGTGACGCTGGTGGCAGGAGGGATGGTATTGGTGGTGGTGGTGAAGGGGACAGGGATGTGGTTACCATGTTGACAGAGTTTCTGGGTCTTCAGAGAGTCACGTCCAGTTGTCCTATAGAATGTACATCTGTCATTTACTCCTTAGAACTGATTTCAAAGGGAGGTCTTTGGTTTTGGAATGTTAATTACCTGGTAGACTTTCACTGTAAATCTTTTGTATAGGTAAAATATAATCATTATAATTCTGTAATCTTCAGTTACAGCAGAAATGTACAGACAGCTTTCTTTATTTGTTATTTTTATCTGGTAATTTGCTCTTTTTTTAGGGATCTTATGTTTCCATATCCTTTTTATTGCCTGTTATGAAATTTTAATTAAAGATATCCATTGCCATGTGTGTATGTTGATCATGTCCATGTTTTTTCCCTAAACAGAGATTATCAGCTTTCCTATCTGTCGTTAAGAACCAGTATTGGTCTGTGGACTTCTTTCTTGTGCATTGTTTTGGTTGCAACAGATGCGAGCAGCCTTGTGTGTTATATTACTCGATTCACAGAGGAGGCTTTTGCGGCTTTAATTTGCATCATATTCATCTATGAGGCTTTGGAGAAGCTCTTTCATTTAGGAGAAATATATGCATTTAATATGCACAACAATTTAGATGAACTGACCCACTACTCGTAAGTGTATTCCGTTTTCCCTGGTATTAAAATGTATTTTTGCAGAGATGTCTGAGCCAAAAAAATGATTTTTTTTTGCATTGTGATGCTCATTGTATATCTAGCTGTAACACCCAACTAGCTATATGGAGGTTGACTTGTTTGTTACAGATGAGATTTTACCAGAGCACTCCATGAATGTAAATACAGTGAACAAATTCAATCATTTTTATTCCCTGAAACAACATATTCAAGTGTGTGTATTTTTGGTCTTCTGTTTGAATTGAATCAGTCAATTTAAATTTAATTGGTAACCACCATCTATTTGAATCAGGCAATTATATTAGATCTTGTATTCTTTAGCCAAATCTTGAATGTAGGATGTAATATTTCTTATATTTTTCTTTTTCTTTTTTATATATATTAAGATTTTATTTATTTTTTTGGGAGAGAGATAGATGGATGGAGAGAGCATAAATGGGAAGGAGAGGGAGAAACAGGTTCCTCGCTGAGCAGGGAGCCTGAGGCAGGGTTCCATCCCAGGACTCTGGGAGCATGACCTGAGCCGAAGGCAGACGCTTAACCAACTGAGTCACCCGGGTACTCCTCTGTTTCTTACATTTTTCGTATATTGCATTTTCATTAACATTTTTAAATCTGATAATTTTTATTTAAAGCCTGATAATATTTATTTTAAAGTTTGATAAAATTTTATCTTATTAACATTTTTTGAAGTCTGATAATTTATATTTGAAGTCTGATAATATTTATTTTTAAAGTATAATTTCAGTATACTCTCATGTGCAATATTTGGTGCAGTACTTGTGATAAGAAAATCATGAATTGAAAATATTTAAAGACTCTAGAATAAAATAAGATTTGAAAAGTAATTATAATAGTTACAAATGGTTGCCAAATATATTCAGTAAAGTGAAATAGGTTGTTAAAATTAAATGTATCTAGGTAGATAGAGACCTATATTTGCTGTTTTGAGCAGTCATGCATGGTGTAAATGTGATCCTGGATTTGGTTGACTTATATGGAGAAAGTGGTCACCAACAAACAAGGGTACAATTCCCTCCTTCTGCCTACTCAAGTCTCAGATCCCTGTGTTCTCCCCTTTCCATCCATCCCTTCCTTGCATACTCAACTTTGATAGAGTAGGGAGGGGTATGAAAATTTCTATGAGACATTGACCTATTTGAGGAGAAGAGAGACACTCTGATGCCAACTCTGTTTTGTGCTATCATCTTTGCTTTTAAACTAGTTAATTTTTTCAGTGTTATTCTTGGTTTTTTCCTCTTTCCTGTTCCTTTGATCTTTATGAAGCATGGCTTTTATAGCTAGTGCCAGCCTATCAGAACAGTATTTGCTTCTGGTTAACTGAGTAATTACATGTGATCATGATTCGGTCAGCTGACATCCTGTGAGCATTTGCAGGTACTGTGTTAGCAGTGTTGCATAATTCATATCACATGTGACTTGATTATTCGTATCATAGCCCCTTCTGCATATGAAGAAACTGAACCTCATGGAGGTTAAAACCTGCCTTGAGTCAGCTAGTAAATGATAGAGCATGGAATGAATCCAAAGTCCAGCCTCTTGCCTGTGTTCAGAACAGCTCATAATCTAACTGGGAATATTCCTGTGTGTTTCTTCTTTTTATTTTTTATTATTTTTTCTTTTTCTTTTTAAAATTCACATTTAGAGATTTCTTTGTGTGTGCTTCTAGCTTATCTTTAGATGAGATAGTTCTGGATATAAACTGAACTCTGTGATCTCCTTATGACCTTCCTAGTCCTGTCCTGGTGAAAAATCATGTTACTTTATTTCTGTAAGAATGAATCTTAAGATCAGTAAAGAATGAGCCTGAGTAGGCAGGGCTTGTCAGAGTACAAAGCATTAATAGGAGTATCGCTTTATTGGGAATCTGTGTGTTTTGTGTATGTGTGGGTCAGGAGGCAGAACAGCTCCCCTGAGGGTTAAGTAGGTAAGATTTAGTGGAGAGTAACCTTGCTAAACATGGTGGTAATTTGTCATATTTTTAAAGAAAATAGTATCCCTCCCCAAGGGATATATGTAACAGATTTCATTAAGGTACTCTGTAAAATATCATTGTATTGATATTTGTATATTAATTATGTTTTTATATACATAGGCCAAATCTTTTTACCTTCCATTGTTTCTGATGTATTTTCACTTTATAGTCTCCATGCATTGCAGCATGGGAAAAAAGTTTAATTAAAAGCTACCACAGGGGCACCTGGGTGGCTCAGTGTTTTAAGCGTCTGCCTTCAGCTCAGGTCCTGATCTCAGGGTCTTGGATCTAACCCCATGACTGGGTTCCCTGCTCAGTGGGGAGTCTGCTCCTCCCTCTCCAATTGCCCCTCGCCCCAACACGTGCACGTGTGCTCTCTCTCAAATAAATAAGATCTAACAACAGCAGTGAAAAGCCACCACATTGTGTGATTGATTTAATAAAATGTAAACATGAAATGCAGGACCCTTAAAATTTTATCCTGTTCTCATTTCTCAGATGTGTATGTGTTGAACCTCCTAACCCTAGCAATGAAACTCTAAAAATATGGAAGGAAAAGAATTTAACAGCAGATGATATTTTCTGGGGGAATCTCACTGTTTCTGTGAGTACATTATAAAATAAAGGATTTTGCAAACATTAACCTAGTTCTTTAGCTTTTTATGAGTTGACCTACATTTTCCTTTTGATCAGTAGGTATGGTGTGTTTTCAGAGTGTAGTGTTGTGCTGAGCAGACAGGAGTTACCACATGTTTATGTATTATGCGGTGAAAAGTGTAGGCTGGAAAGAATGAACCTGGTAAGGGGGATAAAAATGAACTAAATGTGACTTCCAAGATTTAATTAATTAAAAAGTATTACTATACTTCTGGTTTCTAATTCCATGTAGATTGTAGATTGATAAATTCAAAGAAAGTGTTTACTAGGACTGTGGTTGAATATACTGGGGTTGATAGAACAGTCCACATCCATTGTTCTGGTCTCTGTGTATCAGTTTATCTCCTCCATGAACAGCTTATTTAGAAGATCACGAATCCTTTCCTAATGTCCTCAATATCAAACTGAACTTGGTTTAACTGTGGCTTAGTAGTCTACTCTGTAGAAACTAGTGTAACTTAAGCACCTAAAAAGGGAAACAGGACAAAAACATGTAATGAGCACCTACTGTACTGAATACTACCACATGTTCTTAGAATGTTGTTCTGGCCTTAGAGTGTCTGTTCAGGGCACTTCCCAGACTGGGCTTTGGTATTAAGGTATAAAGTGATTCTGGCAATATCAATTAAAATCAAGAGCTCTTGAGCTTCTCTGGTGCTTTTTATATCATATAAGCGATTATAGGTCATTGTTTTCTCACTAAAGATATAGTTCTATTATTGGAAGGGTATTGATATATAATTGGAAGGGTGCCATCTGCAATTTTATCTCACTAATAATTTAAGTCTGTATGGTCCACTACAGTAGCCATTGGCCAAATGTGTCTAATTTAAATTTAAACCAATTAATTAATTTAAATTTAAATTAAATACAATTAATTAGAAGTTCAGTTCTCAGTTGCACTAGCCATGTTTCAAGAGCTCAGTCAGTTCGTGTGGCTGCTACATTGGACAGTGGAGATATAGAACATTTCCATCAGCACAGAAAGTTCTGTAGGACAGTGCTGATTTAAAACATAATTATAGATCAGTAATCAACCTAGATTAATGCTTCACTGTTTTATTAAAAAGTCAGTTTTGCTACAAAAGAGTTAATAGAGGTGCTCAAATGAAAGTTATCTGTTAAAAGAGACCTCATACCATGGTGAATAGGAGGTCTTGATACTACAGATAAAGGTCTTCTGCATTTGTTTTCTTGATATTCAGAAGGCCCACGGTTTTTGTTTTTGTTTTTGTTGGTTTTTTATACTTACAGCTTTTATTTTTGTGATCCACGATGTAAATCTGTAGCTGTACTAATCTCAGCAATTTGAAATTGAGAATAATGGAACCTTTGACTCTTTCTCTCTTGGTAAACCTGAATTGTGTTTGTTAAAACGAGTCTCCTTAGAATATAAGTAACATTAGTGATATGTATCATTGTTAATCTCTGGTTGCCTTTCAGTACTTTTTCCCCAAGAGGAAAATTAGGTCAATAGAAAATTACATTATATTATGCCATATAATTGATGAAGATTTTTTAAAAATAGAATTACTATTTGAATGATTGCTCTGCTGCAACTAGTCCCATGCTTCAAACCCATGGTTTTCAGTTAAGTCAGAAAAGCCACCCGGTTTTTATTCCTGATTTGAATTTAGCACTGTAGCCATTCCTTATTCAGCATTGTAAGTAGACGCAGTAGCAATTTTCTGTTGGTTGCTTTTGTTTTAAGCAACTTGTTTGGAAATAAAGAAAAGATAGTAAAATTGTGGGTCAGCAAGAATGCATACAATATATGTGGGAATTACTATTCACTCCGAGACATTCACTAAAGGGAATATGGAATTGAAAGGACTGTGGGGTATAACTTGGCAAAACACTGTATTTCAGTTCAGTGACTTAAGATACACATGTTTTTCAAACAGTAACATCTCTGAACTCAGAGTGTATCTTATAGTTGATGATGTGTTGAAGTTGACTTGGCAGTATTTTTTCTTTCTAAGTGAAATATAAAATAATGGCATGTCTTCAGTTACTAGGATCTTTGAGTCAGTGGAGTTCATTGATAATTTATTAGATACCTGAGACTCTTCATTTTCTCCTTTTTCTATTTTTTTTTCCTCCTTTTTCCCCAGGAATGTAGAACCTTTCATGGTGTATTTGTAGGATCAGCTTGTAGTCTTCATGGCCCTTATATTCCAGATGTGCTCTTTTGGTGTGTCATCTTATTTTTCACAACATTTTTTCTGTCTTCATTCCTCAAGCAATTTAAGACCAAGCGGTATTTTCCTACTAAGGTAATTGGGGTGTGGTTTTGGGAGTCCTGATAGTATTCATGTTTTTAGTTTTTATTACCTTGGTTTTTTTCAGAACAGTAATACATTGTTTGGGGTTAATACTTGATATCAAATAGTGGTAAAGAACTTATTTATAGTGAAAAATGTATATCACATTTCTGAACTAACAGTAGGAAGATAATGGTACCGTGAGGAATGGGATGGTAGTAGTATGTTAGTTGTGAAATGTGTTTTGTCTCTTTTTGAAAAGATATTAGATATAAATGTATTTCATGGGCATGTCACTAATTAAAAACCTTATTCACACTTTCTAGTGGCATATTTTAATCTGAAAGGTGAGAATTATTTAGAAAAGACACATAGTTTCTCTGTTTATTTTAACATAATTCCTTTAATATAGGTGCGATCGACAATCAGTGACTTTGCTGTATTTCTCACAATAGTAATAATGGTTGCAATTGACTACCTTGTAGGAGTTCCATCTCCTAAACTTCATGTTCCTGAAAAATTCGAGGTAAGAATTAAAATATTTGGTTATTTGTTACTTGGGAATACCAAACTATTTTAAAATTAGATACTTTATAGAAATATATATTTCTCACATACATAAAAGGTGACAAGATGTGAAGAGACAAGTGAACCTATTTAGGAAGTAAGCAATAAGGTATCAAAGTTAGTCCTATCAGGGATAGTGAATGAAAATACCCATGGTACTTGGGAGTCATTTAAAAAAATTTGACCCTGCTGTTGTAGCTGGAGTTCATGATGTATTTTCCAGGAGAAAGAAACATTTTTTATTCCTTCATAAGGAAGTGACTCAAACTTGAATTTAGAATTGTAACAAGGAGATCCTAGTTATTAGTAGGGTAGTGTTATCTGACAATAAATGGAATTCTCCATGTCTCATTTTCTAGCAGAATGAGGAGAGAATTAAGCGTATTCCTCCACAAGAAGAATGATACCTATGTGACCATCCATGAACCCTTTGCATTCATCAGTAGCCTGTGGCTATGTTGTGCATAATATAGCATATGCATAACATACATTCAAAAATTGTTTTCCCTTTTAAGTAGGAGTTGATAGCTTTTGAATAGTTTCTGGAATTTCTTATAGTTGAGTATTTGTGTCACTGGTTATGTTTATCTTTACAGCAAATTATATGACTTATTTTAAAAACAGAAGTTCTAAAGGGGATTAGAAATAAGGAATAAAATGAATATAATTTTAGTCTGTTTTATTTCTCACTGAGGAAAAATTATTTTTAAAACCAGTAGTCTCCAAAGTAGAGTGCATGGGTGGAAAATGATCCACTAAAATTATAAAGAAGGTCTACTTAGATTTTTATTTAAAAATAAGAAAAATTTAGCTTTGTAATACTTACTATATAAATTTTACTATATGGAAAACCATTAGTAACCTAACATAAATGTGTATAGAGCCATTGGGTATACTCAATTATATTAAAAAAAATTTACTGTTTTATTGCTGGAAGTATATAATAAAATTTGGATACCTTTGTTTGAAAGCACAGATACTGAGCCTCTAAAGATGTTTGGCCATTAAAAGATGACTATATGAAAGCCTTTTTTTTTTTTTTTTAAACCAAGTCTTTTACCAAATGAAATTATAAATTAATACTGGTTCAAAATATTGATGTAATTTCCTTTAATCCTGGGCCCTGTTCATTATTTTCATTCCTAAATATATTTTTGTTAATGGTTTATTGATCTAGCTTTCAAGTAGCAAACTGATTTCAAGGGGCATAAGATATATTTGGGGAAATAAATCAAGGAACACTTATGAACTTTGCATTGTATACATAAAATATTTTTATTCATGTACAATTTTTAATATCAAACAGCTTAATGTGTATCGGTGTGGGAAAATTGGAATACCTGCATTTGAAAATACTTAATGTTCCTTTTGTATTAACATGTTTTTGTGATGAAAAAACCTGCTTAAAATGAAGTTCAGGTAATGAAAATATGTTTAGATTTCAATATATTCCGTGCCTTCCAAGAATACTAACCTCGTAGGATCTTTTAAAATGTTTTGTTACAAAACAAATTTTATGTTACAGCATTGGAATGTATTTGAGTCTGATAAATTGCCAGATCTTTGGAAAAGTATGTCCTGAGGTCCAGTTCTGACCTTGCCTCTGACCCTTTAGTACTGACCCTGCCAAGATCACTAGTCTGTAGGATCTTCAAAGCAGTTTAGTTTAGGAGTTGATCTAGTAGGTAGATTGACCTCAGTTTATTCGAAGTAGGTTAGGAGCATGTTGAAATGACACTCTGCTTCATTTACCTATTTGTCTATAATAAACCTCCCAAATCTAAAGCCTATAAAACAGCAACACCTTATTTGTTCATAAATCGGTGGCAGTTGGTACTAAGCTTAACCTGGTACTGGTCTGGTCTCATGGCTTGGGATCTTTCTGTGTGGCTGCAGTCATCCATTGCTTTGATGGTGGCAGTATGTCTTCATTCCCATGTCTGGGAGCTCAGATCAGATGGCTAAAGCAGCTGGGGTAATTGGCTCCTTTCTCTCTCTCACCATATTGTATCTTATCCTCAAGAAGCCTTATCCAGGCTTACTCAACAGCTTAATCTCAGGGTTCCAAGAGGGTTAGAGAAACTGCAAGGTCCCTTGAAATCAAGACTCAGAAGTCACACAGTGTCACTTTGGCTTTATTCTGTTGGCTGAAGTAAACCATAAGGACATCCTAGGTCCAAGGGGAGGAAATGGATTCCTCCTGTAGATGGAAAGATTGACTACATGGCCAAGTGACCTGCATCAAGGGATGGGAAGCATTCTTGTAGCTATCTTTGCAGATAATTCACTACACATTCCAAGATTTAATCTAGTTCTTTTTAACCCCTTGGAATTTCTTGGAATAGACACAACCCATGTTGCAGAAATTTTGTGCAGTAGGAAGAAACGTCTTTTTATCTTTAATTTTTTAACAGCCCACTGATCCAAGTAGGGGCTGGATCATAAGCCCATTGGGAGAGAACCCGTGGTGGACTTTATTAATAGCTGCCATCCCAGCTCTGCTTTGTACCATTCTCATCTTTATGGACCAGCAAATTACGGCTGTAATCATAAACAGAAAGGAGCACAAGTTGAAGGTAATTCTAAAACTTTGCCTCAAGTCTGTAATTTCTTCAAGAGTTTGAGATATTTTCAAAATGACTAGAACATTAAAATGTGTGAGATGAAAATTAATTTCTTCCCTGTGTATAAAGTAATGTAGTATTTTAACCTAAAAGAATAGTTTTGACTAATAAATATTCATGTCATTTCACTTTTCAGAAGGGAGCTGGCTATCACCTTGATTTGCTCATGGTTGGTGTTATGTTGGGAGTTTGCTCTATCATGGGACTTCCGTGGTTTGTGGCTGCAACAGTGTTGTCAATAAGTCATGTCAACAGCTTGAAAGTTGAATCTGAATGTTCTGCTCCTGGGGAGCAACCCAAGTTTTTGGGAATTCGTGAACAGCGAGTTACAGGGCTCATGATTTTTATTCTGATGGGCCTGTCTGTGTTCATGACTTCAGTACTAAAGGTAAAATCTCTTTACTACAATATTTTAAAATCTTTTTTGTCATAAAATTATACTTGCTTGTATGAAAATGAAACATGAAAATATCTAAAATTAGTTTTCATTTCCTGGAATTTACTTGGAAAATAATATTCTGATAAATGGTGTTTAATATAGGAGGCATTTTAGTGTTAGATGTGTCCATTTTAGAAATATTATAAAAGGATAGTATTAAAGACTATAGAATTTTGGAAGGAGTTAATCCATGGCTTTGTTATGATCTAAAAGAAGAATATACCCAGAGGATTTTATAGGCATCTTAGAGAAAGTAATAGTGAAATATGGTTGATATAATTATTTGACCAAAAGGTGAAAATAATTGCTACTAATTAAATAAATGTATTATTTCTGATCAGCTAAATGAAGTAAAGGTAGTATTGCTCATTAGAAAATAAGCACAGCTACTATAAATGAAGAATGCAAGAACTACGTTTAATGCAAGAACTTTAACTTTATGTTAAATATCTTTTAGTTACATCTGGTATTTGCTATACATATCCTAATGGATCTCGTGATTAAAAAATATAACATAGCAAATGTAGCTAAGTATATAATCTGAGATTTTCAGTTCATCGTGGGAAGAGCTCTACTCCATTTTTTTCCTTTGGTGTTTTAGTTATTGCAAAAAAAACTATTAAGCAAAGAGCTATGTACATTTATATATTGGGGAAGAAACTTGGAGTATGTATATATGTTACTATATTAACTAAAAAAATTAAAGTTGTATGCTAGACTTCTTTGGCCTTCATCTCATGAACTTTCTAGCAATGGACTAATTCACCAGATATTTGTTGAGTACTTACTCTGCTGTTAAGACTGGGGAAATAATAAATAGGATATATTATTGTCTGCTTTTCAGAACTTGGCAGTCTAGTTGGTGAAGCAGATAGGGAAAGGGGCATTTACTGCATTGTGGTGAGTGTATTGTTGGAAGTACTTGGCAGAAGAGGAGAAAGATTTAGTGCACTCTTTTGGGGATATTGTCCCCTACTAAGGAAGGTTGCCTTTAAATTAAATTTTTTAAGCATTGACTGTATATAGGCAGGAAATTCAAATAGAACATCAGAAAAGCCCTAAAATGAGAAGTTAGTCTTCCTATTTTCCATAGCTTTCCAGAACCAACTCTCCAGAGTTAAATTCTTTTTAACATCTTTATTTTTTAAAGTTATATTGGTAGTTAGAACCATTATAGTTTTACATGCTTTTATAATTTTATTTTTTGCTTTATTATTATTACACTGAGTCTCTTTACCTAAGACAGTGATTCTCAAAGTTTAGTCTAAGGATGACCTCTGGGAGTCCACAGAAGCAAAAGTATTTGGGGAGCATGTCCTCAGTTTATCTTTGAAGAACCTAGAAGGGTCCTGAGACCAAAAAGCTTGGGAGCCTGTCATGTAAGGTCGGATGTTTTATGAGGATTTAACACACTTATGTGTCCACCAGCCAGTCTTCCTTCCATCACCTGCCTTTGGTTGACTGTGTTTTTAGTTTTATTGTAATGGTTACCAACATTTGCATTCTATGCTGTAATTATAATTAAACTGTCCATGCTTTTTCTGTAAGTTAAATTATAAAAATGTAAGCCCTCTGGGAACACATAATTAGTATTATGATGATACGTATGTGTTCACTGAGAACTAAGCAATCTGATCTGCCTGCATGGAGGCAGAAAGTACACCCTATTTCACTAAGCTCCTGTTGCTGCTTGAAGAGTAACTGCCCAAGCCTTAGGACCCAGTCAGTTTTCTTAGCACCTATTACCTATTACAGTTATTAGACCTTCTGAATATGTTCTCATATTTTTGTCCTCACTGTTAATGAAAATTTCCTGGCCTTTTTTTTTTTTTTTAAAGATCTCTTTGGTCTCATCAAAATCATTATGACAAAATTAATTATTTTGATAATTATATGTTTAAATCTAGAAGGCTTTTTCTTTCTGATTATTTTTCCTAGCATTCTAAAGTTGCTTTATGGGTGAAATATTCTCCTAAAATTTCCTGAGGATATTTATTAGATTTTTAACTTGTTTTCTTCTCTTCCTGTAGTACCTTTTCCTCCTGGGTTTCTTAGGAAGGACATGCTCATTTGTTCATAGAGAATGAATGTGGTTTTCCTCTGTAGCTGTTAGGTCTTGTTTCTTGTTTTTGAGTAGGTGGATGGATCCTGTTAATGGCTTTCCCATAGGATGCCTAGGCATGGTAGATAGGCAGTTGGGATCCCTCTAATTGCCAAAATAGTAAGGACTTTCTTTTGGAGTGGAGTTCAATTATTATATCAGTAAATGGTACTACTGTATAATAGTTACTGTATGGTAGTGATATCAAAATTAATGGCTAATGCCCTTAAAAATTTTTTTAATTAGGCTTTTATTTTAATTCCTGGTTAAAGCTTTATGAATGATTGATACGCACCATGTGCTTTTCTGAGTATTTTAGTATTTGAAATCCTTTAATCTTCATGCAATCTGTTATGGAAATTATGGCATAGAGAGGTTAAGGCTCAAGAAGAGGTTAACTGGCTTTTTAAACCAAGCAGTCTTGATTATAGTGCTCACATTCTTAACCACTGGACATTCTCCCGTTTAATGAAGAAAACATGTAGAAGATAGTTTTTCAAGGAGGCTCTTGTTTACTAGCATTTTTCTTATAGAATATAAGTTAGGTCTCATCACTGAAAGATCTTTTAATTCTACCTCCATAGGTACTTACTGTGTTTTTGTGTATTTTATTGCTATGAAATTGTTTTAGTAGCATAGGTTCTAACTGTGGTCTTTTTACTTACAGTTTATTCCAATGCCTGTCCTGTATGGTGTTTTCCTTTATATGGGAGTTTCCTCATTAAAAGGAATCCAGGCAAGTCTTAAGTAGTTAATAATTTTGTAGAGAAACTTAAAACATATTTTACATTTGCAAAGATTGTTTTTATAATGGTAGTGATGTATTTATAATGGTAGTGATGATATTCTGGGAGGCAGGTTAGCTGATGACTTCAAATCCACATTTTCCAAGTGATTATTGCTTACTACACATTTTTCCCCTCAAGAATGACATCATGACTTTTTTTTTTATATTAACATATAATGTATTATTAGCCCCAGGGGTACAGGTCTGTGAATCGCCAGGTTTACACACTTCACAGCACTCACCATAGCACATACCCTCCCCAATATCCACAACCCAACCACCCTCTCCCTGCCCTCCCCCCCAACCCTTAGTTGATCATGACCTCTTTTTAATAGAAGCCAGTGAAAGGCCTTATAACTATTGATAAAGACTGGTATAGTAAGAGGGGGGATGTTGAGGACTGGAATGGTTAATACTTGCCATTTGTGCGGTGCATTAGTTATAAACCTAGTGTACAAATTATTTTCTGTGATTTGCAAAACAACTTTGTTAGGCAGGAAAGGAAGAAATACTAATTTTGTCAACTAAGAAACAGAGGGACTTATGGACTGTTCTTAATCAAGTAAGCAATGGAGCCAAGGTTAGAACCCAGTGATTTCCCTACTCTGTTTGTCTTGTTTATAATAATTCCTGGAAAACAACCTGATAAAATTTATTTAGTTCTTTGTGTAAAACATTTGGCTCCATAAGCACTGTTAGCACCACGTGGCCACCACCTATCATGGAAAGCATATTGTCTGATGTTGCCAGCTAAGGCTGGCAAGGCTTCACAGAGATTGCATCTTTTTTTTTTTTTTTCCCCAGTAGTCTTGGATCTCCCCTCCACTGGTCAAGAAATGATCTCATTAACTCACTTGATTTTTTTATTTTTTCTTTTACAACTTTCTTATATAATTTTGTGAGATCTTACTCCTGGTTTATAAATGAAGAAACTAAAGTTCAGAAAGACCAAGGAATTTGCTCATAGTTTCCTTTGTGTTGGGAGGAACTTTAATAATTGTGACTTAAGGCTATTTTATAGCATTGATAATGTTAGAGTTGGAAAGAACCTTGGAAATTGTTGTTCTTTTACTGTACATATTAGAAAACAAGGTCAAAGAAAGTAAATGGCTTATGCAGTTGATTATAGCAAATAAGCATATCTAAATATTTTAATCCCCCAACTTAAGACATTTTGGTTTGAGTTTTCTGATTAAATTAATTGCATGAATTTAGATTGATTGCCTTGATTTTTGCCGCTCTCCTTGGGTCCAGATGTTCTGTATTGCAGTATTCTCCTGTACTATCAGAATGTATTAAGGAAGTTACAGTTTAAATCACAAAACTCTAAGGTTGTATATAATTTCCTAAGTAGCAGAAATGATGCTTTTGTTAAAAACTTTTTCTTGCTTTGTTTTGTTTTCCATTCAATACGTAGTTTTTTGACCGTATAAAATTATTTGGAATGCCTGCTAAGCATCAGCCCGATCTGATATATCTTCGTTACGTGCCTCTCTGGAAAGTCCATATTTTCACAGTCATTCAGCTCACTTGTCTGGTTCTTTTGTGGGTGATAAAAGCTTCAGCTGCTGCGGTAGTTTTTCCCATGATGGTAAGGCTTTTTTTTTTAATCTTTTTCATACTTTGTCACTAATTAATAACACTCTATGTTTCAACAGTATTTTACTTTTCTCTTAGTAATATAATAACATACTAGTAATATTTGTATTTGAGAAAGGGAATAGCCCACCTTAAGTACCTTAGGTGTTAAAATATGAACTGGCCCTTTCGTAGCTATTAAACCATTCACTTTAGAAACTGAATTCGCTTGTTATTTTCCACATTTTTGTTTGTTTTTTAGTCCCTGGGCTACAGAACGTTGTTTTGTATTTTTAAACAATTTTAAAGTTTAGGACGTTTATGGAACAAAGATGATAATGAGATATAAAAAAGCAAAGCAGCTAGAACAGCATAGTTCTTTAACAAAATGTTTCAATACATCTTTCTCAGAAATTAACATCTAGAAATTAAAAAATAATAAAAATTTTAGGTAGTATTAAGAAGACAACATTGTTCACTAAATTATCACAGAATATTGAATTTTGCAAACAGAGAATATTCATCCTTCCGTAAATTCCATGTAAACACTGGTTATGTACTTGGCCACAGAGAAAGTCTTTAAAAATTAAGAAGCTATAAAAATTATGCAGGTAATTACATTTCCTGATCACAAATAAATTACAAATAAATAATGAAAAACACTAAATACATGTGAAGTATTTAGACATTAAATGCTGAAATAATCCCTGGGTTGAAAACTGAGTTAAAAAAAACATTGTGGGTATTGCAGCAGAGAATTTGGAACAAAGTCGATGAGATACATCTAAAGTTCATAAGGAAAATGTATACCCTTCACTACATATATTATTCAAGAAGACTTTTTAAAAAATGCAACCAAATTTTTTATTTGTAAAACTCAATAATGAATAAGCTCCTTTCAATTTGAGTAAAGAAGAAAAAAGGACAGGGCAAAATATATAAGATTAAGAAAGAGAAAAGAAATGTAATCACAGTAGTGGAAGAGATTTGAGGGGCTTTAAGAAGGTACTATATGAATCTATAGAAGTAAGTTTGTACATCTAGTGTGGAGGTTGACAAACTTTATTTCTGTAAAGTGTCAAATATTTTCAGCTTTGTAGATCACAAGATATATAGGCACTTCCTTAACAGGAGAGAAATTTCCACAATTTCTTATTGGTAAAATTTAAAAAGTAATTATACAGTTTTTTAAAATGAAAGACTACTAATGAGAAGAATATAATTCTTTTTCATTTGAGATATTTCACTGGGCTGAGGTTCAAAGTTAGTGTTCCCTATCATCAAATCAATTCCAAATGTGCATTTTTAAAAGCTTATTTTAGGTCACAGGCCATACAAAAGAGGTAGGGCAAGATTTAACCCAGGGGCTGTGGTTTGTTTACCGCTGGTCTAGAGAAGATGGGTTATTTCCATTCTATACATACATTTCCAAGAATTAGCCCAAAGAGAAATAGAAAATTTATGGATCTGTATAACTCAGTTGCATACAAGAGACTGGAAAAATGGCCAAAGATCTGCCCTTGGATCACAGGCCCAGCTGATTTTAAAGAACAGTTAATTTCAGTACTTCTGGAATTATTCTAGGAAAGGAAAGGAAGAGATGGAAAAGTCTGCATTTTTTTCTCATGAAATACTAGCAAGATCTTAATACCAAAGCCTAGTAAAGTTGTAAAAAGAGTGATGGTGACTTCTCACTTAACTAATATAAGTCCAAAAAATCTTAAGATATTAACAAATAAATTTTTGTGTTTCATTAAGTAAAATATTAAATAGAGTGTGATACTTCAGCAGCAAATAAAAAATACCAACATAATTAAAGATAGAAAGTCTTATAAAATTGTAGTCATTGTGCATAAAAATTTGTAAATAAATTCCAATATAGGGAAGCACACTGTTACTGTTGATATTTGATATGAACTGAAGGTTCTAACTGTGATAAAAGAATAATATAATATTTGTTATAAGGGAGAGGTAACATCATTTGTAGATAATATGATTGTTTGCCTGTTAACTCAAATAACTCAAATGAAAAAAGACTAAAAGCCCTAGTAGAATTAGCAAGAATTTTGTTAGAGTGGGTGGTTACAAGAAAACTGATTGGCGTACCAAAAGAAATTTATTATATGATAGCTTTGGATGCTGAAGGTTTGCAAGGAAGGTGTGGATGGGGCCATGCTCCCTTTGTAACCTGTAAGGGAACTCTTTTGCCTCTTCCTAGCTTCTAGTGGTTTGCTGAAAGTTTGGCATTGTGTTGCAACTGTGTAACTCCAAACTGGCACCTTGTGATGTGGTCTGTATATCACTGTGTCTTTATATGACCATTTTATTAAGACCCTGGGCATATTGTATTAGGAACCCACCCTACTCCAGTATGACCTCATCTTAATTATATCTCCAACAACCCTATTTCCAAATAAAATCATATTCTGAGGTATCAGGGGTTAGGATTTCAATGTATCTTTCATGGGGGACACAATTCAATCCATAATAATGTTGTGAAGTACATAAAATTTATATCTGAACAAAGAGGAAGATATATCATATTCTTTGTGCATACTTAGTATTGTAAAAATGTCACTTCCAAGTTTGAATTTTATGAATTTTATTTACATGTGTGTTTGTGTGTATTCGGAGAGGGTGTTGTCATTGTGAACTATATACATTGGGTATATAGTCTTAGAAGATTTGACTGTGTATGGGAGCTAAGGTTGCTTCTGTAACCGATACCATATTCAGAAAGAAACCATAAATGAATTGAAGATTTAAATGTTAAAATGTAGTAGAAATTTTTGAAAAATATTTATGTAGTCTAGTGATGGAGGGTAACCTTTTAAGAAGATAGGGTAACCCAGCTGTAAAGGAAAGATCTATTTGACCACATGATAATTAAATGTTTTATATGGGCATAGTAAAATCAGATTGTGAACTAGGAGAAAGTGTTTGTAACATACAGGGCAGATAAAATGCTTCTATCTGAACTACACAGAGCTCTTATGAACTCATGAATAAAAATCATAAAAGGCAATTGAAAACCAGGCAAAAGATAGTAATAAGGAAAATGGTAAGAAAAGAAGAAACCAGTGGACATTTGAAAACATCTTGAACCTTAGTAGCAGTTAAAGGAAAACAAATTAAAGTAATGGTGTATCTTTTTCACATATGTAATTGGAAGTCTAAAGCCATTATTGGCAAATGGGTTCTCTAATGAATAGCTCAAGAGATTTTTAAATTTATTTCAATTTGGGGGCGACTGGGTGTCTTAGTTGGTTAAGTGTCCTACTCTTGATTTTGGCTCAGGTCATGAGATGGAGCCCTACATTGGGCTTTGTGCTGGGCAGGAATGGAGCCTGCTTAACATTCTCTGTCTGTCCCCCCCCAACACACTCTCTCTCCTAAATAAATAAATAAATAAATATTTACACACACACACACACACACACACACATCTGCTTATATACTGTATATAGTTTAAGGTCATCATAAAAATTAATAATCTTGTACTGTGAAGATACCATGCTTAATCTGCTTTATAATTTTATGCAGAATGTATGGGATTTATATAGGAAGAGGTTAAAAATGCCATTTCTTTTATATGTTTTCTTTGAGCTGGAAGCTTGAAAGATAAATAAGTGACTCAGTTCCTTTGAAATAAGATGGTATATAAAGTGATTTTTTAAAAATTTACTTGAGAGAGAGGGGAGGAGGCAAGGAGGGACAGAGAGAGACTTTAATAGACTCCTTGCTGAGGGTCCCAGTCGGGGTTCGATCTCATGACCTGAGCCAAAACCAAGAGTCCTGATGGCTTAATCAGCTGCACCATGCAGGGGCCTCTGAAGTGATTTTTAAATAAAATACACTAAGTACTTTTTTGTTATTTGTGATTTGATACTTTTTCTCTCTTTAAATGACATAATTTGTATATTTTTAGATGTTACTTAATATGTTTCTCCCCCACTTTTTTAAGGTTCTTGCATTAGTCTTTGTACGCAAACTCATGGATCTGTGTTTCACAAAGAGAGAACTTAGTTGGCTTGATGATCTCATGCCAGAAAGTAAGAAAAAGAAAGAAGATGACAAAAAGAAAAAAGAGGAAGAGGTAAAAAGACCAGAATTTCAAATTTATGCTATTCACTTGTTTAATATTTCGTATCGAGTAGCTGGCCCTCTTGTGGTCACTTTACAGGAATCCACTCCTTTGATCCTCTTAAGAACCTTATTATTATGAAGTGTAGGTACTTCTATTATTCCCACTTTACAAATAAGGAAACTGAAGCATAGGTTAGTAGGGAACTGGTTTCAAACATTAGCTCTTAATCCATTTTACCAACTTAAGTTGCCCCTCTAAAGCCTTGACCCCAAAAAAAAAACTTTGAAAAATTACATATCACATGTGTACTTAATTTTAAAAGTGAGAGAATTTAGCAGTCTTTAAAACATAGGTGAAGCATAGGTAACACAAGCACATTAAATACATAAGCACATTTTACTGTACATTTTAATTTTAACATATACATAATGACAAAAAGGACTTTAAATTTAATCTTTTTACCGAAAGTAGTGTTAAACTGTAGTCTTAATTTGCAGTATTATGTACCATTAGTTATTTTGTATACAGAGATTTACATGAATATTTTATTCTGAATTTGATTTTTTAAATAACCAGCTCAATGCTGTTGCTTAGTAAAAAGGAAAAGTAGACATGTAGCAAGTTCACATGTAGCATAGATGATTGTATTGAGTACAATTTTAGTACCCGACTCCGTTTTCCCATTAGAATGAGAATATTGCTTGAAATTCAAAGATAAGAAGAAAGATATATATTTTAAATATTGTGGTCCTGTTTAAATAGGGATCTCAGCATTACTTTTCCCCCTAATTTTTGAGAGAAGGCAACATAATTTATACCTTATTATATTGTATAGTATTTATGGAAATGGATTTGTTAAAACTTAACTGGGTTTAGGCCTTGGTATTTTTTTTTTTTTTACATAGTTTGGATTGATTATTCAGCGCTAATTTATGGCACCAATTGCTGGTTTTTATTTTTTAACAGAAATTATGACTATTTAGGATACTAACTGAAATATGTGTAAATGTTTATGAGCTTTTGGTGAATTTTCAAAGAGGATGCAATTCATTCATAAAATACTTAGGTTAAAATTACCTGTTTATTATTTTCTGCATTAAGTTAGAATAAGGTTCAGTTTACATAGCAAAAGACAAAATTAAAGGAGGCCTCAACACAAGTGTTTATGCTCTCCTATAGAAGTCTTGAGAAGAGTGAGTGATCTGGTGTAATGGCTCCCCAGAGTTGTCTGGAGAGCCTGTGCCGCTTTCCCCCCAGCCTAGGCACACAGTTTCCAGTCTCAAAATAGCCTCATAGGTCAAAATGAATGCTGAGCCTGAGCTCTCATGCATTAAAGATGGCAGAAAGGATGGGGTGAGAAAGCAAAATGGGCTCTACCCTGCTATCCTTGTTTTTTAAGAAGTCTCCAGAAATGGCATCTACTAAGTTCTACTTGAATCTCATGGCCACGTGGAGTTACTACAAATGCTGAGAAGTTTAGCTGTGGTTTTATTTATTTTTTTAATGATTATTTTTTAAAAGCTGGGCATATTGTCACCTACAAGTAGTGGGATTTCTAGTGGTAAGAAAGAAGAGTGTAGATGTTCTCCCAGTCCATCCTGATGTGTCCCCAGTAATTACGATATCATGATTTTAGGTCATGTCTCCAGTATATGTTTTTCTCCACCTGGAGCAACATTTCTCCTCAGGGTTCATATTTCTGTGTTTGAGAAACTCTTGATTGACAGAATTGGATGGGCATCTAGTGGGCAGAGGTCTGGGGTGCTACTGAATATCCTATATATGCAAGACTTCACCTTACTATGAAGAATTGTTTGGCCCTAAATGTCAGTATTGCTGAGATTGAGAAACCCTGCCTCATCCAAATGAGGTTTTGCTTTATTGTATAGTAATGAAAGCCATCAGATTTTACAAAATTTTATCTTACTATATACTAATAATTGATAATAAAATTTATGTAAATTAGTTTTAACATAGTATTCATATAACTGAAAGAAATGAAAGTTATAACCATTTAAAATTTAGCCTTTACAAGTAGTTTTTTTTTGTGCTGTCAGTATGTGTTTATAGTTGTAAAAGGAATTTTTCAGTCATGACAAATATGTTTAAATATATTGTCAGTTTGGGTTTCTAATTCTTGAAGATGTTAGATATTAATTGGTCCTTGTGAAAATATTCTGGGAAAAGTAATTTTTTCATGTATGTGTTCTGAAGGAAGCTGAACGAATGCTTCAAGCTGATGATGACACTGTGCACCTTCCATTTGAAGGGGGAAGTCTCTTACAGATTCCAGTTAAGGCCCTAAAATATAGGTGAGATAAAACTTTATCTTGTAAAATGTGTTTTGTGTACATGTCAAGTACATGAATAAGCCATGATAATGCTTTGTTAAAGTAATGATCTCTGTTTAAAAAGATGACAAAACCAATACCTGGCCTAATGTCAACAACTAACGGGGGTCTTCGGGAATTTGAAAGGGAAATCTCATGGTCCTTCCCCTCACAGGTTTGTAGGCAGGAGGGAAGAAAAAGCTTGACTTGAACCAGAGCCTTAAACCAACTTCCATGCCAGGCAGACAAGAGTATTTGTCTTGCATCACTCCTGTTTGATTGAAGTTTAAAATCAGTATAGCTTTCCCTCTCTGTCCTTTATTAGGCCTGCATCAGTGTGTGCTGGAAAATTAACCTTTGTAACCCATTTTCTGTTAACTTTCCAAATTGTGACTTGACCATTGGCAGTGAGTGTGCTCCTATTATGAAAAAGTTGAGTTCCATATATAGCTTATTATGTATTACTTTGTTGATTTACATGTAAATTTAAGAACTAAAGACAGTGGTAAATTCTTGTTTACCTTTTTGTAGTTTTAAAAGATTAAAAACCTACATTATTTATGTACATATCTGATTCCTAGTTCCACATTTTTTCTATTTCTAATTAGCTATTGATAGTAGAAAAGTCAGTTTTAGAATGTATGTATATACATTCCTTCTCTGACCAGTTAATGGAAAAGGTTTGTTGGTATTTATTAACTTTGGGTTTGTTTTCATTTTTAATGAATCTTTATAGTTTTTACAGAGGTCTTACTTAGACTTGTACATGTTGATTAGTTTTGATAAATGAATTCATCAAGTAATATTCCTTTATACTTTTTACTATTAATTTTCATCATTGGTATTACTCTGTGTCACCTTTCAAATCTTTCTTATATAATATACTTTAAACTAAATGCCAAATACAGACATCTTAATATAATGCTTGGCTTTGCTGGATTCTATAAATGTTCATTAAACGAGTTAATATATTAACTTTGTTGAACTTAAAAAAAGAGTATAGGAACTGCCATGATGGTTATTACTGACTCATCAATTTGTTGAGATTATTTGTCACTTAGTTTCTATAGGTCCTGCATTATCACTTTCTCAGTGTGATTATACACAGGCCTTGACAAATTTAAGTGGAATGTATACTTACACAATCTGATGTTTAACAAAAAGAATGATTATCTCTATTTACTTTTGTCTGTTTAAGTGATGACATAGGCCAAGATAAAGGCTGCTTTGCTTAAAATTTGGACATTAAAGAATGCCAGCAATTGGCTGACCTGTTTATCTGTCCTAATTTAAAATCTTAAGTAGCTTTGGGTTACTTGCCATGAAAATCAAATGAGATAATAAAGAAAAACATTGGGAAACTATAAAACTCCATAAAATATGAAAGTAATTGATTTAATATAGACAGATTTTTTTTCCCCCCATCTCGTTTTATTTTGGGGAAGAAAACAAAATGTACTATTATTTAATAAAAAGGTCTTGATTTCTGCTAATGGGAAAGTTCTTAGAGGGGGACATTTGAAGCTAGAAAGTGCTTCAGGAATGTCTCTCTTCAGTTATTTGAAGTTGGCAACCAGCCACAGAAACATTTACTCAAGAGTAGATAGTTTCCAGTTGGTGGACTCTGTCCTTGTGAATCTGAGCATTCAAATTTTGTACATTTTAAAATAAACTGACCTGGTAAACCACCTTTTCTAGAGATTCTGCAGGGACATGTCACATTTCTCAGAAGCCTTATTATATTTTAAACGACATTTGGATTTAAGATGTGAACAAAGCTAACACTCTAAAATTACTGCCATTTAGTTATTTATCATGTAGCTGCCATTGCATTGTGAACTTAAGGCCTAATTTGACATTTGTATTTGTCACTTGTATGAATGAAATATTACTCTTCTGGGGAGGAAAAAGGACTTGCAAATATATTTCTATTAACTTCATAGTTAATAACTGACAACCTTGAGTCCAAAATTATTTATGGATATCATCATTTTTGAATTTGCGGTCTCAAAGGAATTTTGCAATATTTTATAAAGACAGGGTACGATTACATTTATCCCTTACAATGAAAGGACAGTATTTTGTTCTTTTGATTCTGATTTTGATAAATTTGATCGGCTTACACTTTGAAACTAAAACGTGAATGTCAGCTAAAAGTGATATATTACAAGTCTGTTTTTGTGTTATCTGTTCAAATATTTTCAGAACTGTTTTTATTTTTAAAGTGTCGCCTTTTCCATCATTCATTTTAATGATTTTTTTTAACTATTAAAAACTAGTTTTTGGTTTTTTTTTTAAAGCATGATCTTAAGTTTTCTTTATGTGCTTTGGATCTCTAGTTGATGAGGTTGAAATTTATCCTAGTTATAAAAGTTTTCTAATTGACTGAGGCTGTATTTTTTTTATATGTAATGTATTCTTTTGTTATTTCAATAATATGCGTATAGCCAAGATGATCATCTTTGGGCTTCACTGCCAATTTAATTAGTCTTAACTCCTAGTTTTGGTTATATAGAAGGATGTAATTCCCCATGAAACCAGAATTCCGAAATTCTGATGTTTTGCTAGACCTTGGTTTAAATGCATGACAAAGAGTTTTCTCAATTTTAAAATTGATGAAGACAAATATTGATAAAGAGTGACAATATTAATGCTTTTGCAAGTACTGAATACTAACCAAAAAGTGTATTTGTTCTTCAGTGTTGATCCCTCAGTTGTTAACATATCAGATGAAATGGCCAAAACTGCACAGTGGAAGGCACTTTCCATGAATACTGAGAATACCAAAGTAACCAGATCTAGCACGAGGTAGCTGTAACTCTTTACGCATTTTCTAACTTGTAGCCAATTTTTAATCGACTTATGGGTAGATAGCTATTTCATAAAACCATTAAATGTAACTCAATTTGCATAAGTTATATTCTCTTAACAAAACCAGCCTTCTTCTTTTCTTCCCCTCTTCCTTTTATTTGTCTATCCATCATTTTGCCGAATACTGGAAATCAGATATAAGTGCTGATTGGTTACTTTTTAAATTCATAATTGCCTATTTCCAAAAAGAATTTGAGCCATTTTATAATAAAAATGAATATATACATATGGCAGTATGCAATAAGTATATAAAATATAAAAACTATATAAAAGATAATTACTAGGGGTTATATAAATACTCTTTAAGTGAACAGTACCTCAATCATGCTTTCTGATGGTCCGAGAAAAAAGATAGACATGACTGTTTTCCTTGTTTTGCTTTAGCCTGGCATTTCTTCAGATGAGATAAACATTTTCCTAGAAGATAGTTGGAAGAAATTTTTAATCCATGGATATAAAACGCCATTTAGTTTTATAATGGACCACGTATTCCATGACAATTTTTATAACTTCTCTCTTAGATTTCTTGTTAGGAATCCATTTTTTTTTTTCTTTTACGCTTACTTCCAAGGCCTGAATCTAAGGGATTCTAGTTTGATAACCGTTACTACTTTAATCCCTTGGGTCTGTGGAGAAATGAGGTATTATCCTGTAGTGCATGCAGTCATTCATATTGCACAAATACTCTGTGTGCACTTTGTGTCAGACACTGTTGGGTGTCTGTATACTCTGCTTGGACATCAGATCAAAACTTTTTTCTGGGCAAATGGTCACTGGCTGCTTCTGATTGATTAGTTACTGTCTTTCTGGCCACTGTCTTTTGATAGTAATTAGTTAGGTTTTATTCATTCCTTCCTCACCTCTTCTTAGAGCTTTGTTCCTACTTAATGTCTATTATCCCCCCCAACTTTTTTTTTTTTTTTTTTTTGTTAAATCATTTCTTGCTTTCTGATTTTTTAAGCTGGACTATTTCCCTTTTTCTGTCTTTGATCTTAAAAGTTTTTAAAAATTAACTCTTTGTCATTTTGATTATTCCATACGGCTAGAATTTAGTTTAATGCTCTTTTTACTCTTAATAATTTTTCACACTTTGTCAGCACTTGTGGCCCAGATTATTAGTATAGTTGCAAATGTAAAGACTTTATAATAATATTATTGTATATTATACAATAATATAAAAGTATCTTTTATGCTTCTGCCTTTCATTGAGGTTGCCCCTCAATTCCAAATTACAGGGGAAGAAAAACAGTGTATAGGTTATGTCATTTAACAGAAAAAAATGTTTGGAGGTCCTTCCTTCAGTCTTGTCTGGAGAAGGCAGCAAACCAGTGTGGTGTTGAAAAGTTTTTTCAAAACACAGATATTCATGTGTTACAATTAAATTAGTCACTTAAATCCATGGACATGAAATCATTGTATTTGATATAAATTCAAAAATATAGAATATATGTGTTTTGATTTTTTATTAGTAAACCAAATTTGGTGAGAGAAAGTTTATAAATTTGTTAATATTTTGCAGGAAATTATTTGATGCTTATCTATATTAACAAGCTTTTTTAATGGATTTGTCAGTGAAATGTTACATGCTACAACTGTTTATTTATAAAATAAAACTAATAAATCAGACTTAGTCATATAATGACTAATTTTAAGAAACTCCTCTTCAGTTGTAAAAAAAAAAACCATGAATTTCATTGGCAAGCATATCCATTAAAAAAACTAAGAATTTTTAATATTTGTCTTTCCAATCAAATTTATTGGTAGGAAAAGAAAGCAGTAAAATAATAATAGTGAATCATATGTTTATAGTATTAATAGTAATTTCAAAAGGCTTAAAACACTTAGGTTGGCCATTTTTTGAAAGTAATAAGAATCATTTATTCTCATTCCTTGTTTTAAATAGCCCTGAAAAACCTATGAGTGTGAAAATAAATCTTGAAGACGAACCAACAAAGAAATACATGGATGCTGAAACTTCGTTATAGAATTGAACCAAGAGGAATTATATATATAGCTATACAGATATATATTTTATTTATATATATATATGCATATATATATATATAAAATGTGTGTATTTCATGTCATTATATATAACAATATTGTAAGTCATGCTGTTTATGCGTGGCTCCTGGGTTTTTGAAGTAGTGTCTAAAGTTTGTTAGGAACACCATGGAGACTGTGTATATAATGAAATGGTCTCTTAGAAATGAGGTACATGGTTCTTACTATTCAAATATTTATTCTGTTGAAAAAAAAATTTCTGTTCTGCAGTAGAAAGATGTGGGGAAATGCATTCAATCTCCTTTTCCTTTTAATCTATTTGTTCATCAGTGGTAATTCATACCAACCTTACGTGATGTACTTTGTCCATATATTTATAATTTTTACTTGAGCTACTAAAAATTTTTACATATTATTTCACTTTTGTTAGTTCTTTATGGGAAGAACAGGGAGTCTTTATGCCATTGTTGTGGACAAATGGTAACATGTCATGGCTTCTCTGTATGTATGTTTCATTTATGCAGATGTCCATCATGTTTCACAAGCAGTGGAGAGTTTTTGGCTCTAACGGTAGAACAATAGAAACTGTCTAGATAAGAACTATAGTCTTGACCTTTGTGTCTTTAAAATTTATTTTAAATCTTAAAAAATGTCCACATCCAGGTTTCTATTCGAATAGGCAAGTAAAATTGCAGGTGATTTTATAATTTAACCCCATACCAGTCATAACTTTATGGATTTTAGAAGCTGTAAAATGCCAGTTGATAATAGTTAAATTTTGTTGCCTTTGTAGAATTTTTTTTTGAATCCTAATGCTTTATAAGAGCCCAGAATGCTTCCTCTGTTCTCTGCCTTTGCTGTCTTTTACTTAAAATATGGTTAAGTTTATATCAGGTTCAAGCTCTTGATTATTTTTCTGTTACAAGTAATACGACTAAATAATCAGGAATCACAATTCTCCTAATGGGTTTATGATCAGTATTACTTTATTCTAAAGAATTACCTTTCATTTTCTTGTTTACGTTGTTATTCTTTCTATGGTATAGATAATATTTAATAGATTGTTATCTGTGATCTATTATAAACTATTTTATTTATTTTCATTGATATGATACTTAGCTATATAAACATTTGAAAAGGTAGCAAATACAGAATAATTTAAATTGTTAATGTAAATAGTTGGTGCTCACTTGCATTTATGGTTTATTATCTTTGAAAGCAGTTGACAGATTTTACATCTTTGATATAAAGCACTGCCATATTTGTATTTTAAAAGGAATTTAAACATTTTATGTATAGCTCAGATTGATGGCATTCTTTCTAGTTTGTGTTAGTATTTGTTATTTAGTTTCTGCTTTTCTGAGCTATTTTTAACTTCTAGCAAATCTTTTTAGTCATCTTTTATAAACTCTTCTCTCTACATGAAATAAATGTTATTCTTGTTAAGCCTGTAGGACTGGATGAATGGGGTTGTGAAAGTGATTTGGCAAGAGGATAATTTACGAAAAAATGAGTATTGAGAAGCCACAGAAATACCGAAATTGTAACATGAATATTAGGATGAACATTTTAATGAAATTCCAATGCTCCCTTTAAACATTTGTAATTAAAGTTCAAAAGTAGGAACAGTTGATCTTATAGAGGATCATGAGGAATGCCAAAAGCTGGTATTTTAGCAATTCTGAAGTGTTTTGAATCCATTGTAAACTGCTCGGTAGCTGATATAATTTCTCCATCTGAGACCATATTATCAGATTCTAGTTAAAGAATTCGACTTCTGCCTCAAATGAGAAGTTGGAAATGTAGCTACTTTTCTTTAGAAAATAGAGCCGGCATCATTTGGTACTGCCAGAAAAAGAGTTAGACTCTATTGACAATTGATAATCGAGTATTACCCACGGTGCTTATTATTTTTTATGAGCTTCCACTGGAATGATTCCTATTATTCGTAGCAGCATAATCATTTCCAAAGACCCCAGTATTTGCTGCTATATTTTGTAAACTCCCCTGGTGTACCCGAACAAGGGGATTTCCTCACATCATTTCTTTGTGTCTAGACATCATAGGGTTAACAGATGTGCTTATTTTACAGGAAGGGATTTTAAAATTTAAACTGAGAACTACCTGGGATCATAGTGTTTCTGTGATTTTATTTAATTATGTATAGTAATTGTCCCGTGCCAGGAAAACCAAGACTTGCAAAATACTTTGCACTCAAAATGTTTTCACTGTTTCTAATTGTTAATGGTTTCTGCTTTCTTTTGACTACTTGACTTACAAAATGATCTGATACGACTCCTCCATTGAAGAGCAAAGGTAACTCATGTTTATTAAGTAATTAACTGCTTGTTCTACATGGTTATAGTATTTTTCCACTATTTAAAAAAAAATAACAATCATGGCTAGTGTTCATTGCAAGACAGTGAAAAATATAATTTCCTACATACATTCATTTTTAAATGTTGCCTTAAATAGGTATAAATGAGCAGTAATTGCAGTGTACTGATTTACCTCAAGGTGCAAAATAATTAAACCTGTACATATTCCATTTACAAAATAAATTAGTATCAACAGCCCTGCACTTTCTTAGATGCCTTGGTTTCCAGGATGGAGCTTAGTGCTACTGAATACCCTGGCTACAGAGCCACCTCAGGATATTCTTCTCTCCGCCCTATCTTATTTATTTATAGATGTCTGTTTACAGAGACTATAATAAATCCTGATGTTGACCGTCTGAAATTTACCTTCTTTTGAATGCTATTTCACTCTAAAATAGCAGCTTTTGAGAAAACAATGAACGAACTTCCTTATGAAAAAAGGATGATTCTTTCTATTCTCTTATATTAGATACGCTGAAGTGAAGCCCACAGTCTTTCGTGTGTGTGTGTGTGTCTGTGTGTGTGTGTGTATGTGTGTGGTGTAAGAGAGAGAGAGAAAAAATGATGTTTAAAATCTTAAATCTCTTCAGTTGTTGAAAAAAGCTGTGGCATATCCATGTTCATATTTGCCAAGTCTTTGTAAAACATGATGTGCTAATGCATGTATTTATAAAGCAGGTTTCTTTACCACTCAAAATTACTGATTTTTGTTTTCTCCATCCAAAAAGCATTTGTTTCTTCCTCATGCTTCAAGTTTATGTATGTATATAATAGCTTTCTAAGTTTTTCCTTTCACAAAGACAGGTTCAGAATTCTGTAAAACATAAAATGGTTTCTGAAACTGAGGTATTACACCAGAGCTTGCTGTATTTCAAGGATCATATCATGTGCATCAGTTCCTTAAATGTGCTCAACATGTGAATCCTGTTTTAAAGTGCTCAGATTTTGGATGTGTAAGCCATTGATATAACATTGTAATTCAAAAATGTTTAAATTAAATAACTTAATGTTTTAAATTTATTTATGTAGATTACATCATTGTTAATCATATATAATACAAATGTGTGAAATGTTTTTTGGTTTAGTCCAACAATTATTTATTTTTTAGAAAGTAAGCTTAAAGATTTTAAGGACATTGAAAATTAAAATAGTGTTCAAAATTCAAAATTTGGCAATTTTAATGTAAAGTTGGTTCTTTTCTAACATTATCAGAAAGTAATATAAGTATCGATAATAGGAAAACATATAGTTGGAAATGGAATCATCTAAAGGTCATTTTAAAACTTTAATTAGCACATACTGACTTCTACAGTTGACTTATAGTAATTGTTAAACCCCAGTGGTTTTTTAATCAGATTTTATGCATTGATTGATTTTTGTGTTGTGGCTTTTCTTTTGTTGCTTTAATATTAAAAATCTGGGGGGATTTTTGTTTGTTTTGTAGGGGGTTATCTTCCAATGTTTACTATGTTTGAATAAATAGAAATTGAATTTTAATTGTTCATTTATATAGTATTTGATAGCTTGGTATAATTTCACAGTACAGTTCTAATTTTTATGACTTTTATAATTACAATGATAATATTTTCTTTTGTAATAAAATCCAAGGTAAATTAAACATTTAAAATGTAGAACTGGTATTTTTCATTTATATGAAGTACAGGTCTCTACCAAGTCTATAATGTGAACAATTCTGCCTTTCAAATTTGTTTCATAACTGTTAGAAGAAAACTATTTTTTAGAGATGTTATTGAAGTTGAGAGAGCAATAAAAGTCTACTGAATTAGTTGTTGGATAATGTCTTTATTTTGTACTTTGATTATTAGAATTGCTGCATATCTTTCTTATGCAGAGGAATGGGGGGATGAAGGAAATTAAGTGATTTCTGTTTCCTGCTTCCTAATATTCATATGCTTCAGGGAGGAAACAGAAAAGAAGATGAAGCAAAGTATTGTGTGTTTCACAATGACTTTTTAATAGTTAAGAAGTATCGAAATTAAAGCCCTTTCAGAGTAGGCTGGTCCATTATTTTCCCTTTAATAAGAAACAGCTTCTGATACCCCAACATGAACTTGATAACCTTTGGGAGTGAGAAAGGTGCTTAGAAGTTTAGAAATTTCATCTGAAAGTTTTCTGACATGTATTTTAAGAAAAAGTTTTTTGTCAACTTATTATTCCCATGTATAGAACTTTGAGTTTATTGTTGTTTTTTTTTTTTTTAAGAAGTTGAGAGGAAAGGAAATCTTACTCATTTTGTTTTATCTTGCTCATTAAAGCATATCTGATCTCTTGAGTATCAGTTAATTCTTTCTATGACTAACATTTACATTTCTTCTGTTAGGCTTTGAATGAGAACATTCCTGATTGGAAAACCTTTCTTTCAGTTTCTGTGCTGCTCTTTTGGACTCATTTTCAGTTCTGCTTTTCCTTTAAATTGTCCTCACCTTCTGCCAGTCTATGGATCTTTCTCATTCCTCTAGTGAAAGTGTGTGTACATGCATGTTTAGATACCCTTTTTCAGTCCTGAGTATTTTAGAAATTTGGGCAAGGGATTTTGTCCTCTTGTTAATCCTAAAAATTTACACCTATTTTGGTGCCTGTTTACATTACTTTTATTTTTATTTTATTTTATTTTTTTCTTTATGTTATAGTTAAGACATTCTGTTTTGCTTTTGAACTATGTAATTTACATTGTCTGTGAAATCATTTCAGCATAGTAGAAGGGGTATTGGAAAACAAAAAAGGGGATGGATGTTAGGTCTTCCAAGTTTGAGCCCTACCACGTAAGCCATAACTTCAGCAAACATCACCCAGGGCATGGATCTTCGTCACTCCTTCTTGAGAGGCAAGTGCCCTTCATCTGAATCTTCTATGTAACTTTCACTTCTATTCAGGAAGGGCCAAAATATTAGTTTACCATTTTGTTGAGAAAGAGAAAGAAAAAAAGCACATTCAGTATTCTGATGAAGGGTAGAAGTAATTGGAATCATTTTGTCTCATAGCTAAATATTTAAAATGTTTTTAAGAGGACATTTTTCAACTCTGTATCACTCAACTTTTGTTTTCCAATTGGTAACATTAACCTTGCTGGCTTTATGTTCTCTGAAGTTAAATTAGTTCTGTTGTATTTCCTTGAGTCGCTTCCATTTCCCCTTTCTACATTTCCAAAATGGAGCCTTGTTCTTGTAGGTTAGAATACATATTTTTAATTGTTATCCCATTAGGTCTGCTTTTCGTTACTATTCAATACAGAAACACATCGGGGAAAAGTTCATTGTATATGTTTTAAGTCAAGTTTTGGGAGCTGTAGTCACTGTACGAAGTGACACACGGTGGTCATTTTGAGCAATATTAAGATGGGATCGGGTAGACCCTATACTTGAAGAAATCTGGAGCATCAGTGTGGTTAAGACTGGGCTCTCGTTTCAAACTGTAGGTACTACCTACACAGAACTGTGTACATTCTTTCCTGACTCTAGCACTTAGTAGGTGCACCAGTAACTAGCTGGGAGACTTAGGAAACTTCTACCTCCATTTTCAATTCCAAACTAGGATGAAAAATAATTACTCTCAGTGGATGTCGTGGAATAGTGTCTGGCATAAAATGAGCATGAATATTTTTCATTTTTTAAAGCTTCATAATGTGACTCATCTTTTTGACTTTAATGCAATTCAAACTTCTTCTCAAGAAGCTTCAGAATTTCACAAAAGGTGAAGAGACTTGCCTATGCTAGGTGAACCACACAGATACAGACGTCTTGAATGCCCAGTCCCTTTTTTTTTTTTTTTACAACACTCTATTGTCATTGCCTGAGGTATGGAGTGCCCCTGAGTAACTGAAAATGTGTTCGCACTATATGAAAGCTATGTAGCGTGTAGCGTTGATCCTTTCAAACTATTTGCTTTGGAAGAGAATTGATTTTTTTAGTCCATAGCAGTTCTTGAAACTAAGCACCCTAAGAAGCAGCAGCTCCATCCCACCCGTTTTGTTTCATATGCTAAAAGTTGCACACACCAAGTCCAAAAAAAAAAAAAAAAAAGCACAGGGTTTAAGAAACCTGCCCATAGGCTTGTAGCTCTAGGTCAGGATGAACTGGACCCAGCACAGCCCGAAGGGCCACTTTCCTCTTCTCCTGCCTGCAGCCTTGGGGCTAGAACCTGCGCGTTCTGTGGTTGCTACGGCAACCCCGAGGCGGGTGTCACCCGTCGCTATGGCGCTCGGTACGCCGCAGCACGGCTGTTTCTGATTGGCCGAGGTGCCCCGGCGAAGCGGAAGAAGAGGTGTTGGCATTGGTTCAGCCAGCGCCGGTTGGTGGCCTAAAGCAGGATTTGCACCAACGGTGCAGCAGGCAGTGGTGTCCCCGAGACAGGGAGTGGGTTGGGGGGTGGGTGGGCGGGACGGGTCCCCCGATCCGGAGCCGCGGGGGCAGCAGCAGAAACGATGAGGAAGATTCAGAAATTGGCCTGAACGAGGGCTCTCCCCCTCTGGCGCGGTGAGTGGGGCAGGAGCGGGCGTTCCTTTGCGCCGGCGCGCGGTTTGAGGCAGGGTCTCCAAGGAGTTGCCCACAGGTCCTTGTGGAGCAGCCCGAAGCCTCCGGGAGTCAGCTTCACTCGCCCTGGGGCAGGGGCAGGGAGTGCGGGCTGTCGCGGATAGGCGAGTCGCCCTGAGCCTGTCTCTTAGCAGAAGGGTTGGTGTCGTGCGACTGGATGGTGGGCAGGTGCAATCAACGATGTTTGACGGCCCTTTCAGTTCGATGAAGGAATTATTTTGGTTATATGGAGCGTGAATGTGTCTCTTCCAGTCTTCCCCGATACCTCTGCAGCCTCATTCATGAAAGTCTTTACAGGCATCGCTTTTCTGCCTTCCCTTTCTGTGATGCTGCTTTGACTGCCCTCTTTGCTTTTCTGCACCACGTGGGTGAGGCTGTCCACTTCCACGCCTTCACGCATCACGGGTCTGCCGATGACTGGAAAGCGTCCTCCTCCAGCCTAGACTGCTTCACGAAGCGCCAGACCCCCAAATCCACCTGCCAGTTAACTCCCCAGCTGTGTGACCCTAGAAGCTATCTCCCTCCACTCCCACCAGACTGCCACACCTTTGGGTTCCCTATCTTGGGCAGACCTATCCAGTTACTAAAATCACATTCTGGGCAGTGTCTTTGACACCACCTCTTCTGCATTTCCATCAATTATCAAGCTTGTAGCTTCTTAATAGACATCAAACCAATTTCCACATCACCATCTCCATTCTCACTATATTAAAATTTCTGCCAGTTCCATGGTTAAACTCAGCACCCATCCAGCTTCCCTGATTCTGGTCTGGAACCATTTTCCCCAGGAGAGTTGGGCTGATCTCTCTCTCAAAAAAAAAAAAAAAAATATATATATATATATATATATATATATATATATATATATATATACCTTTTTTTTTTCCTGCAAAGATTGTGCATTATCCTACTCCAGCTCTTTAGTTAGGCCTCCCATCAGCATTTCCATCTTGCTCATTCCCAGAACATGCCAGTCTCTGTCCCGTGCAGTAATTTCATCTGTTGTTCATACTGCCCACAATGGACTCCACTTTTTGCACCCTCCCCAGCCCTATTCTCATTCTCCAGTCTTGCTCTTCGTGTTGCCTCATTACTTTTCTCTTCTCTTCTCTAGACATTATTTGTGAAGGCAGAGGCTACATTTATCTTACTCAGTGTTTGCTGTATCTCTCACAGTATCATGCCCATACCAGGAGCTCAACAAATACTGGTTAAGCGAATGAATCTCTAAAATGAGAAGCCATTACTTTTCATGACACCCTTTTTTGGTTCCAGAAAAGTCTGAAATAATCTGGCCAGTGAAGCTTTTATTTATAAAATATGAATAGTGAATTTATAAATTTTACTTAGATTTCAAGATCCTTGGTGATTGCAAACTACTTCACCTCAGAGTCTATCTTTCATCATTAGTATAAGGGTGGTTGTTATTACATGGCATGGGTTTCAAGTGGGAAATAGGGAGTACAGCATAGGTTGCAAGAGAAAAGCTTTGGAGTCAGAGATACATGGATTTGCATCCTGGCTACAGCATTTTAGCTCAGTGGCCCATGGCAAATGACTTAGCCTCCAATAAGCTTCTTTATCTGTACAGTGCACTGATGATAGTACCCATCTCACATGATTGTCTTAAAGACTAAATGTGAACAATTCATATCAAGTGCACAGTGCCTTATACTTAGTAAATTTTTACATGTTTAAAAAATTGAAATATTCACATGGTTGTTTATAGCAGTTTTATTCACAATTGCCAATATTTGTGAACAACCAAGATATCTTTTAGTGGGTGAATGGATAAACTGTGATACAGCTAGATAATGGAACATTATACAGTGCTAAGAAGAAGTGATCCATCAAGCCACGGAAAGACATGGAAGAACCTTAAATGCATATCACTAAGTGAAAGAGGCCAATCTGAAAAGAATCTGAATTCTGCATATTGTGTGAATTCAACAATATGACATTCTGGAAAGGGCAAAATTTTGGAGACAGTAAAAAGATCAGCAGTTGCCAGGGGTTGGGAGTTGGGGAGAAATGGATAGACAGAGAACAGAGGATTTTTAGGGCAGTGGAAATACCAGATGATATTATAGTGATAGATACATCTCATTATGCATTTGTCCAAACCCATAGAATGTACAACACCAAGAGTGAACCCTAAGGTAAACTGTGGACTTTGGGTGATCATGATATACCGATGTAGTTCATTCTCGGTATAAAAAGTACCATTCTAGTGAGTGATACTGTT